GCTGCTGGCGAAGATGGGATGGACCAGGGGAGAGGGACTCGGGGCTCTCGGACCAGATGGAGCCGCAAAGACCACCAGGGGCACCGCCGGTGGGAGACTTGCGGCAGTTCCGTCGAGGGGAGCGGGCAGGGCCAGGGAGCGCGGAGCCGAGTGCTGAGACGTACGCGTTTGAGAAGGTGCTGCAGGAGTATCGTGTTCACATCCGCAGGTGCCAAGCCGTGCCCCTGGACAGCTACAGGTCCCTGAGCTTCTCGAGGGACAAAGCAAATGGCAAAAGCAGTGTAGGTGGCAAACGCATGATGCTTTGTTACGACGCCTTCTCCATGGCCCGGCACTCGGGGATCCCCTCCAGAACTACTGGCGTTTGGACACCCACATGGGCACAGGGGGGGATAGCACACCGTAGCAGAGAGAGCATCATCACCATCATCATGTGTAACAAGTGGAGGGCTGAGTGTAATACGAAAAGCCTCATCGTGAGCAACTACGATTGCACGAACGCCTTTGCCGCTACAGAGAGACACCGGCTTGAAGTACAGGCAGAAGAGCAAGCTTGCCCCGAGGACGTACCATACGCTGTCGCTGGTGTGCGCCAGCAGACGATGACCATAGAGACGTCCGATGGCACTTTAGATGTTCGTTCTACTACGGGATCTCAGATGGGATTTACTACGGCACCTAGAGATTTTATACATACCTACGACAAGGAGGTGGAGGAGTGGAGGATGGGGGAGCGGGAGCACGGAGAGCACAGATGGTTTTTACTACCGATCGTCGTCAACCCGAGCTACCCCCTATAGACACTCAGCTGAGCGTGTTCATGGACGATATCATGAGGAGCACAGTTATAGAGGAGGGGGCATCAGCGGCTAAGGTCACAAACATTCTGAACGGAAGCACATCTAGATTAGAGAGCTGCCTGGCCAAGGGGCAGTGGACGCTCAACCCTACTAAGACGAATCATCTGCTTGATCTACGGGACGCCCGTCACTATCAGACAACACGCTGTTTCAGACGATCGAAAACGACACAAGGTAAAGCTCTTAGAGAAATGCGTGTACTAGGGCCACACTTGCCGAGCGAGCAGGGTATGTTGAGCGAGGTTCTTCGGAGACGCCAGGCTGCCCGTCAGGCTTGGCGACAATGCGGATGCTTCTGGACGTCTTCCACAGCTAAGTGCATCCGCCGATCGATGTTCCAGGCATTCGTGGTAGAGGCAGCGTTAAGTGGATTATCCGCCTTCGTGATCCCAGAGAAGTTCGTCGGCATCTTAGACCAGACCCTTGGGAAGTTCTTGTGGGTTTTATCCAAAGAGAGATGAGCTGGGAGACGGAGGAAGGGGAAAAGCGCTGCAGGACCACAAAATACGTGTTCAGAACCTGGAAGATCCCAAGTTGCGCAACACAGTTGAGAGTTAGACGTATACGAAACTACCTCCGATGGGCGAAGTATCCAGATGACCATCAGGCGGTAGTAGCTGCTGTGTTTGGCACCGCTTGGATGGACCCAGGTCTCCCGATTATCAGCCGACTTTCGAGTATGTAGCGACTCGACTCCTTGGGCGAAACAATATCTTGCCGACCTCGATCACCTTGCATCTGTCGACCCCGAGTTTGCCGAATGGTACCGAGCGAGGAGTGACGACATCAGCTTTCTGCGAAGAGGACGTCCAGAGAACGAGATGTTTCTGAAAACGGACCCTTCGTACTTGAATGCCATCGAGAGGTACGGGGAGGTGGAGGACGACATAGAGGGGGAGGAGGAGCAGGCGATGGAGGAGTACTCTCAACCCTACTGGTGCGACCGCACGAATGAGGAGGAGGGGGGAGGAAAGGTGACCTGTGGGAAAAGGTTTACGAGTGCAGCAGGTTTGATCGCCCATCGTCGTGAGGCACATGGAGTTACCCCTCTCTTGAGCAAAATCATTATCACCAACCAGTGCCTTTGGTGCAAGAGCTGTTTCGTGAATAGAGCAGGTGCGCTGGACCATGGCAGAAGGGCCGGCCTGAGGTTCGGCAAGTGCTTCATAGATCAGTCGAAGTGGGGCCACGAACTTCAGATTCCCGAAGTCCTTGACTGTAGGTTCTGTTCCTTCTCGGCTCAAAACTTTGAGAGTTTTCAGGAGCACGTTCGTCAGCATCTGCCAGGTCCACATTCGGTCGTCGAATCATTTGCACGAGATCGCGGGGACGAGGATGGCGTGGAGAGTGAAGAGGCAGGCAGGAGACGGTCCTGGCGAAGAACGGGACGAGAAGGAGGCCAGGCAGGAGTTGTCGCGCGGCAAAGGCGGCAAGGCGAGAGACGGCGAGAACGTAGACATACGGGAGGCCTTGGTGACGGTGCAGAAGTTGGTGCTGCGCAACAGCCAGGAGAACAGAGACTTGATCAACGGGATCTTCGACTTCTGGCTGGTCCCAGGATCGTCGAGCATGGTCACCGCTGGGGCCGACACAGGCCAAGACTGCAACAACACGGTGAAGAAAATGGGCCGCGGGCATGGACAAGGGCCCCCGCACGTGCACACCGCAGTGCCGGTGGTGGAACAGGCGGCGGAGGTGCTCGACCAAGGGGACAAGCTGCAGGCGGAGAGCAGGGCCATCCTCACGGAGTGGGTGGGCATGGCCAACGGGGAGCACGGGCAAAGGCTCGTGGACGCGACGTTCGGCATGTTCAGGATCAAGAAGGCCTGCCAGCGCGAGAGCGACATGGAGGAGATGTACACCCTGCGAAATGCTTAAGAAATCATGGGTTAAGAAATTCATAGTCTCAGAAATTGACTAAAAACCCAGAATGTCTATTCAAATCTTAGGATTCACATGGAAACGTTAAGAATAAAATCGAGACTCTGGCCGAAAACTTGGGTTTTCTTAAGCATCGCCTAAGGTGTGCAAGGTCATGTTCGGGATCAGGCCGCTGGTGGACTTCAAGACGGCGCTCACGCTCGGGCAGGCAGCGCCACAGGCCGTGGCTCGGGTACGCCAATTTTCAACCGGCGCTCCCTCGCGAGGCCCTGAACCACGCGTGGTTCCTTCAGAAGGGCACGATGCCGATGGGGGCAGGGCCGAAAACAGAGCTGGAGAGGGTGGTGGAGGCGCAGCTGAAGCAGCTAGTGAAACAGGGCACCCTGACGAAGAAGCAGTAGTGAAGCGTAGGTACAACCAGGTTGTGATAGACATTGCTCACGATCCGAGGCGACAGTAGATACTCAGGAGTTTGGCAGCAGGTGGCAGCGAGCATGCGACACGGCTCTTGTATCAGGTAGGAGAATATCGCAGCGAGCTGCACAAATTACTTCAGTTTGACAATATCAGACATGATGCCGCCCCTGGCGGCAACGGCGCGCCTCCATAGAGAGGTGGCAGGCGCCGCTCCCGTTTACTGAACTATATGGGGAAGACGGCTCAGCCCCAGGGCATCCCCAGGGATGGCCCCGAGCCTCCGCTGCCACCCTCCTTCTTCATACCCCGAGGGATCTTCCCCGCCGACGGGGCATCGTGCGCGGTCCTTGCACCGCCGCGTCGCCTCTTGCCGTGGCGGCCTGCTGCACCGCCAAGCGGCCCAGCCTCCATATTTAACGGAGGGGCTACCGATCAGTTGAGAGATGACAGACTGATGGCCCCCAACTGAGCACCACCACCACCACCACCTCACCCCCACCCTCACCCTTTTAGTCATTGTCCTCCTCATCCTCGTCCTCCTTCTCCTCGTCTTGCTCCTCATGCCTCCTCCGTTCTCCTCCTCCTCCTTCTCCTCCTCCTCCTCCTCCTCCTCCGCCTCCTCCTCTTCCTCCTCCTCCTCCTCCTCCTCCTCCTCCTCCTCCTCCTCCTCCTCCTCCTCTTCCTCTTGTTTCCCCTCCTTTTCGCCTTCCCCCCCCCCACGCGGGCCCGGAGATGGCCCCAGCACGCCGTCCAGGCCGGCACCCCTCGCTGTTCGACTGCGCGCGTCTCTTCCTCTCTTCCCCCGTCAACTCTCATAGGCATAGATTCTGGATGGGCTGGCGGATATACTTTCTGGCACGCGGGAGCGCGAAACAAGTCGAAAGCCGGGCAAAGCTTAGGCGGGCCGCGCCGAAATTTGGGAGAAAAGACAATGAGGCGAGCAGCGCCCGGCTCAGGAGCGGGCTCGGCGTGGCCAAAATGGCACGGGAACTAGCAAACCAGCGCCGACATTACATCCACTCAAGCGCCGAGTGGACGCGGGTCAGGTGCAGTGTGGAAGAGCGACCCCACACAAGGGAGGTCAGAGACATGGCCCCAGGACGCACATGCCAAAGAAGGTGTCCGAGGCAGCCACGAATACCCTGCACACAACGGCGACCAAAAGGCGGGAGAAACTGGCGTCCATAAGACTGCACCCCAGGTACCTTGCCAAATACGAAGTCCTGAACCGGAAGGCCTTCACGACGTAGAACGAGCAAGCGAGCCAGGAGGAGCAGCATGGACGACCCCGACAGACGGGCGTGGTCAACGCGGAGAAGCGTCAAACGGGCGCCGAGGAGGTAAACGGTCTCCGGGTCTTCAGGTAGTGGGACGCGTAGTCGGGCAGCGACAGCGGCTGGCGGAGCTACGCGAAGCGTCAAGAACTAGCACCAGCCTCGCGGTCATCATAATCATCATCACAAGGATTAGTACCATACGCGTCCCCATCCTCGTGATAGTCGTCATCATCATAATCCTCGCCATCAGCACCATCACCCTCATCCAAAGAGTCAATCCATCAAGCTGTGAGGCCTGTTCCCACAGACCCCTCTCCTTCATGGCGACGGAGGCGACTGCACGTCGACAGCGACAACGACGACGACGGCGACGGCCGCGACCACGACGGCGACGACGGCGACGGCGACGGCTACGGCGACAGCCGCGCCCACGACGGCGACGACGGCGACGGCCGCGACGCCGACGGCGACGGTTGGCGACGGCCGCGACCACGACGGCGACGACGGCGACGGCCGCGGCGTCGGCGACCGCGGCGGCGACGGCGACTCTGCGACGGCGGCGCGCCTCGGCCTGCCGATCGTGGGTGACGCAGGAGCTTCGCAGCGGCACCTGCGGGGCAAGGGCCGCGGGCGGCGCCGCAGGTGCCGCCTCCGCCGCCGTGCCGCCGTGCTGCCGCCGCCGGCGGTCGCCGCCGCCTGCCTCTCGGGGGCGTTCTGGGGGCCATCTTGAGCTGCCCCAGGCTGTCTGGTACCAGTGGAGGCCCGACCACAAGAGACCTTCCACAAGAACCCCAACCCTGAGACCCCAGGACGTCCACTGGTTTTTAGTGTGGGAACGTCACGCTTCCCGTCGCAAAACCATCGAAACCCAAGAAACCCAGGGCACCCTGGAGGCAAGCAGGGTGTTTCTTGGCATGGGCCTCCACTGCAGAACGGGGCTAAGACGAGGACAAATCCCAAAAGGATTTGTCCTCGTCCTAGCCCCGAAGGGCCTTCCAGAGCGTTCCGGAACGCTCTCAGAGCGTTCCGGTACTGAGGAGGCCGCGGCGCTCGAGACATCCTCCAGAGCCGCCGGATCTCATCAGAGATTCTCGATTTGTCCACACCCGATGTTATCCTCGTCCTGGCGTATCGGAACCAACTTCGGCCGTCCCGGGATCGATCTTCAGGCGCTTGGAAGGCCCCAGTCGACCGTCATAGGCTGATCGTAAGTGTTTGTTGGACCATGCTGAGGCCTCAGAGGCTCCTCGGAACTGAAAAGGCGAGATCTCGAAAACACGCCAGAATACTGCAGGTGTTTCAACAGACGTTGGCCCCCTAGGAGCCTACTGGAGATCTCGTGGGAGCCTCTGGGGGGCCTCTTGGGGCCGTCCTGGGGCCTCTTGGGGCCGTCCTGGGGCCACCTTAAATTGTCTGGGGCCGTCTGGAGGTCATCTGGGGCCGTCTTGGCGCCCTCCAGGGCTGTCTTGAGGCACTGCGGAGACTTTTTGGGCCCATCTTCTTTTTTGCATCGCGCTCAGCGCTTGGTCTCCCGGCCTCGCCTGCGGCGCTCTCAAAGCCGCCGTCGGCGCCATCGCCCAGACAGCCGACTCCCCGCACATCAAGCAGCACCCGCCTGCTGGGCCACTGTCGCCAGCCCTGCTGGGAGAACGAATAGGAAGCAACTCTTGTGTTCCCCTCAAGGCGTCAGTAGACGGTTGACGCGTTGGTCTCGCTTGGTAACTAGCGCACAGACGATTCGACCACACGGCCCACGGCTGCACAAAATTATCGCTCCACCAAAAGAAGAACGGCCGTCGCCGGAACGGAAGAAAAAGAAGGAAGGACAAGAGGGATCGAAATAATAGCGGGAGGACGGAAAGAAGCCTGCGATGCACGGAGATAAAAAATAGGAATCAAACTTGGGTTACAATCGTAACCGAATAAGCGGCACACAATGCCCACTCGTGAAAATTTGGTCGCGCTATGGGGTAAACAATTTACTCCGTCCACTCGCCATATCACCATCGCTTGGACTGTCTGCCCTGTAATGACATAGCGTCGCTAGCAACAACACATGAAACAGACACGAAGCACACAACAGTTCTGAAACAGGTGTTGGTTCGGGGCCTCAGTGGTCAGATTGTTTGTATCATCCGTCTCCCTCTCATCCTCCTCCGTCGCAACCTCCCTCGAAGAGGAAGCTCTCTCCACAGACAAGTGAAGCAAGTCAGAGAGAGCCTCCAAGGCTCGCCTCCAAATCCTTAAATAAGCTTCAGCGAAAGAGAGCCCACAAAAGCACAAACACAGACACACACATACACACACACACACACATGGACACACACAGGCAGTTATGTGAGGGTCCGATCGGACACCCAAAAGCGCCACGCCCAACTAGGGAGGGCGGGAACATTTAAACAAGGCCTACCATAACGAACAACTTGGGCGGCGAATGTGAAAAAGCAAAAACGCAGTATGAACAAGCGTGCTTGGGACTCCCGAGCACGCTTGATTCAAGTTGGCAGGAGGGGAGGGGAAAGGAGGAGGGACGAAGAAGGGAGAGTTGAGGGGGAGGGCGACGACAATCAGCTGGGGATACATCGCGCACGGACGACGCATGCCGTAAACCGCGTACGCACAGGCGATGCTTGGAAAAACAACGCGCCTGGAACTCCGAAGATACGAGCCTGGGCTGCGGCGCCTCCTACTCGCAATCTCCAAGGCGTGGCGGCGCAGGGGCGCGGGGCACGTAGGCACTCCTGGGCTGGCATGCGGGTGGTCTTGCCCACGGATTTAAAAGGTATTATTCCCCATATCCTAAGGATTGGGGTTCTTGTTATTACTCTGACGCCTCCCACTCCTCCTCCTCCTTCTTCCTCCCGCTCGCGCCTCCCTCCTCCCAATGATAATCACCAGATAAGACAAGACACGATAAGATACTACAAGATAAGATAAGATAGCACAAGATATGATAATAAGAGATTTCAAGATAAGATAAGATAAGTTAAGCTCACACTCACACTCTCTCATGATCACAAAACGCTGCCAGGGGCATCATTTGGGAGCCCCAAGGGGGAGCCACCCTGGCTGATCTCACGAGCCCGTTCGCGCCGATTTTGGTGGGACGTCTCAGCTAGAATTGCCGTTTGGCGCCCCCAACATGTATCTCTTGAGAGCCTCATGGTCACAAAACGCTGCCAGGGGCATCATTTGGGAGCCCCAAGGGGGAGCCACCCTGGCTGATCTCACGAGCCCGTTCGCGCCGATTTTGGTGGGACGTCTCAGCTAGAATTGCCGTTTGGCGCCCCCAACATGTATCTCTTGAGAGCCTCATGGTCACAAAACGCTGCCAGGGGCATCATTTGGGAGCCCCAAGGGGGAGCCACCCTGGCTGATCTCACGAGCCCGTTCGCGCCGATTTTGGTGGGACGTCTCAGCTAGAATTGCCGTTTGGCGCCCCCAACATGTATCTCTTGAGAGCCTCATGGTCACAAAACGCTGCCAGGGGCATCATTTGGGAGCCCCAAGGGGGAGCCACCCTGGCTGATCTCACGAGCCCGTTCGCGCCGATTTTGGTGGGACGTCTCAGCTAGAATTGCCGTTTGGCGCCCCCAACATGTATCTCTTGAGAGCCTCATGGTCACAAAACGCTGCCAGGGGCATCATTTGGGAGCCCCAAGGGGGAGCCACCCTGGCTGATCTCACGAGCCCGTTCGCGCCGATTTTGGTGGGACGTCTCAGCTAGAATTGCCGTTTGGCCCCCCAACATGTATCTCTTGAGAGCCTCATGGTCGCAAAACGCTGCCAGGGGCATCATTTGGGAGCCCCAAGGGGGAGCCACCCTGGCTGATCTCACGAGCCCGTTCGCGCCGATTTTGGTGGGACGCCTCAGCTAGAATTGCCGTTTGGCCTCCCCAACATGTATCTCTTGAGAGCCTCATGGTCACAAAACGCTGCCAGGGGCATCATTTGGGAGCCCCAAGGGGGAGCCACCCTGGCTGATCTCACGAGCCCGTGACGAGAGAGAGAGAGAGAGAGAGCAAGAGAGAGAGAGAGAGGAAGCGAGAGAGAGGGAGAGGAGAGAGAGAGAGAGAGAGAGAGCGGAGAGAGAGAGAGAGGGGGAGTTGAGAGAGGAGACAGGCGAGAGAAAGAGAGAAGAGAGAAGAGAGAGAGAGAGAGAGAGAGAGAGAGAGAGAGAGAGAGAGAGAGAGAGAGAGAGAGAGAGAGAGAGAGAGAGAGAGAGAGAGAGAGAGAGAGAGAGAGAGAGAGAGAGAGAGAGAGAGAGAGAGAGAGAGAGAGAGAGAGAGAGAGAGAGAGAGAGAGAGAGAGAGCGGGAGAGAGCGAGAGAGAGAGAGAGAGCAGAGAGAGAGAGAGATAGCGGGAGAGAGCGAGGGAGAGCGAGAGAGAGCGAGAGAGAGCGAGTGAGAGCGAGAGAGAGAGAGAGAGAGCGAGAGAGAGCGACAGAGAGCGAGAGAGAGCAAGAGAGAGCGAGAGAGCGAAAGAGAGAGAGAGAGAGAAGAGAGAGAGAGAGAGATAGAGAGAGAAAGAGAGAGAGAGAGATAGAGAGAGAGAGAGAGAGAAGAGAAGAGAAGAGAAGAGAGAGAGCGAGAGAGAGAGAGAGGGAGAGTGAGAGAGAGAGGAGAGAGCAGAGAGAGAATAGAGAGAAGAGAGAGAGGAGAGAGAGAGAGAGAGAGAGCAGAGATAGAGGCAGAGAGAGAGAGGCACAGAGAGAGAGGCAGAGAGAGAGAGAGAGAGACAGAGGCAGAGAGAGAGGCAGAGAGAGAGAGAGAGCAGGGAAAGAGAGGCAGAGACAGAGAGAGGGCAGAGAGAGAGAGAGACAGAGAGAGCAGAGAGAGCAGAGAGAGAGGCAGCTCAGTCACACTTAAATCCAGATTCGTCCTCACCGAGTCCCACCACCAAGGGAGCGCCAGCAAGGAGATGCACATATGGGGATCCCCACGCAGTGAATAATTAGGTCGGGCATGTCCTCCTACAGGAGGACTGTGGACGAAAAAATAACAATGAAATGCCCCGGAATAGCCCAAAACACAATCTAAAAAAGCCTATGTTTGGACTATTGCTGAATGTTCCCCCTGTAGAGGGACACGCCCGATTTTGAGCTTGCCCACGGATTAGAAGGTAATGTGTCGCGCGCGGAGCGGCCTTCTCTCTGAGTTAGCTGCATATACAAAAACAACAGAATGTGAACATTTTTTACTCGGCGTTTCGGACATTGGGCTGAAGGGGGGGGGAGGGGGGGGGGTCTGGCTCCAGACCTCTGCTTAGTGCGACTGTTTGCAAAAGTGCGGTCTCTGGGGGGAGACTCCGCCCGCTCGAAACAGGCGCCAAAAAACAGCCAAGATCTACTCCATGGGGGGGTGAGGGGGGGAGGTGCGAGGGCCCGCGCCGATCGGCAAAAGAATGAATCCAAAAACGGCCACGATGCTGATTGTATTGCGTTGTTGGTTCACCACGGCCGCTCCCCTGCGCACGATAGCAGCGACAGCGATAACGGTGGCAGACGCACACGTGGAAAGCGTTCTGCGCGTTCACGCATGCACTAAGATATCCAGCCACGCTGCGGACTTCAATCGCGACGCGCACGCTGGATTTGCACAGTGAATCGGTAGGTTGATACGGGCCATGCCGTGAATAAGAAATCTCGCAACGAGAAAGTGAGATCACGCTGTCGAGCCACGGTGAGCACCTTGAGCTGATGCTAGACTGAGTCACACATAAATGCATCCACAGAGAACATGCTAGCGTCGAGATTTCTTATTGGCAACACGCAAGCCTGCAATGGGACTCTTATACGCAGCTGGCGTCCCTGAGTCTCGGCGAGGGATGCTGTCTGCGGACCTGCTCGGGACGCCGCTGGCTCACGACGGCGCACGACTCCTCCAACACACCGCAACTCTCCCACGACGGCCAACCACGAGGACCTGCGCCTGAGAACCTGGAAAAACAGGCACGGGCGTCTCCGACGGCGCCCCCTGGAACTCCTAGACGGAGGCCGTGCCCATCGCCTTCGCGCGCAGAGCCACCACCGCCGCCCTCGCCGCGCCCACTGCCCTGAACGCACGGTCGCCGCCGCCGCCGGGGCGGCGCGGGGCCGCCGCCTCCGCGGGCGGGCCCGCCGCGGGCTCCGGGCCCTCCGGGCCGCCGCCGCCGGGGCGGCGCGGGGCCGCCGCCTCCGCGGGCGGGCCCGCCGCGGGCTCGGGGCCCTCGGGGCGCCGCCACCGGGGCGGCGCGGGGCCGCCGCCTCCGCGGGCGGGCCCGCCGCGGGCTCCGGGCCCTCGGGGCCGCCGCCGCCGAGGCGGCGCGGGGCCGCCGTTGCCGCGGGCGGGGACGGCGCGGGGCGGGCGCCTCCCGCCCCTTCCGCGGGCTCCGCGGGCGGCGGGGGGCCCTCGCCGAGGGGGCCCCGAGGCCTCGGGCTCTCCGGCCTGCGGGCGCTCACGGCGTCCTCCCGGCGAGACCAGACGGGCCCGCGCGCCGCGAGGCCGAAGGCGGGCGGCGCGCGGCGCGCCCCAGGGGAGGCCCCGGGCCCCGGAGCTCCGCCAGCAGGCCATCGCACTCGGGGCAGGACGGGTCATAAGCCGGCGGCCTCCTCGGGAGCGCGGGGCTGCGACTGGGAGCACGGAGGGCCATCGTTGGGCGCAGAAGAAGGCTGCCATTAGGTCGGGCATGTCCTCCTACAGGCGGATTTTGGAGGAAAACTAGAACATGTTCTAACAATAGGCAAAAATATCCAAGAATGGTGTGTACATAGAAAAATCGTCCCCAGACTATGATTGAACTATTCTTGAGTATTCCCCCTGATAGAGGAACACGCCCGATTTAAGGCTGCCAGATGGGCGCAGCAGGGGCGGCCCCGCACAGAGTTGGGGGGAGAGGGGGGACCCGCTCGAGGCTCGGTCGATGGATTAAAAAGCCGCGGGCGACAGGACTGTAGCCCGAGCAGCCAAAATGGCTACGGAGGGACTTTGGGGGGCCCACCTTGGAAAGCCCCTGGGGCCTGGTCCACCCACGGAAGTTCGGGACAGCCGGTTATGGCCCCGGGAACGCGTGCGCCGTTCAGGTTCTAGCAAGCTCTAGTTGTAGTCCAGAGTGTTCGGCATCGGAGGACATACATTGTCGCACGGATCGTGCACCTAAGTGAGCTCCACCTGCGGCCCCAGAGGCAGACTGGGTTTAGGGTCCCCCCGCACATGTCGGCACACCCCTCACAGGGATCGCGCCCCACTGGGAGTTCCACCTACGTCCCCAAAGACGAGACTCGCATAGTGGCACGCCCCTCACGCGAATCGTGCCCCGCGAGTAGATGCGACACCAGAGGGAAACTTCGTAGACTCGCCCGGCTCATTTCGGCACACCTCTCACACGGATCGTGGCCCCGCACGGAGTTCCACGGACGGCCCCAAAGACAAGGTTTGCATCCCACCCTCCCGCCTACTTCGGCACACCTCCCACACGGATCGTGGCCCAGGGGGATCTCCACCTACGGCCCCGGAGGCAGGGTTCGCACTGCGCCCCCACCCCGCTGGCCAGTGCTGCACACCCCATCACGCGGATCGTGCCCACAATGAGCACCACCTGAAGGCCTGGAGAAAAGATTCGCGCAAGGCCACCCCGCCCATGTCGGCACACCTGTCGCGCGAATCCCGGCCTAGAAGAGGTTCCACCTGTGGCACCAGTGGGTACCTTTGCATGGCGTGCCCCTGCCCATGTCGGAACATGACTCGCACGGGGCGCGCCTGGAAGACGTCCACCTGCGGCCTCGGTGGGCGTGTTTGCGCGGCCCTTCACGTGGATCGCGCCCCATTCGAAAATCAGCGCACCCGTGCACGCATGCTCCGCAGCAACCGCTTTTCGGCAGTGCCCCACAGCGCACAGTGTATGAAGAGAGACCCGCGCCCTGCACTACACATGACTGCATAGAGATGGGTCCGTCGCCAAACCAATTGTTTGCTTATCTGTGGCTTTCGGCCCATACAGCGAATGTGCGTCAGTGTTGGGCCAGAGGTTTCTTGGATACCTAAAATTCCGGAGTTCTTGGCATGCTTGTCGGGCGCCTTGTGAAGCGAGTTTTGAAGCTTCTTGTGCTTGCATGTGGGCCCTGTGGGGCCTCTTGGGGCCTCTTTTTGAGCTCTCGGGAGCCTGCTGCGGCCTCGAGAGCCCAGTCGTGGCGGAAGGCTCGAAATTTCAGGTGGAGCTCCCCCTCTTGGATTCCTCTTGGGACCGTCCTGGGCCGTCTTAGGCGCCTCTTGGACCGTCTTGGGGCTCTCTTGGGACGTCCTGGGGCCCTCTTGGAGGCCTTTTGGGCCGTCTTGGGGCAATGTGTGGAGCCTCTTGGCCCGTCTTGGACGTTGTTAAGGCCCGAATTGCGAAACCTGACCAGATAAGAACGGGAAGCGTCCTTTTGTGCCCTGGGCTTCTGAGATATGCTACGTTCTTAGCATGCGCTGTGCAAGTCTGTCGTGGCGTGCGTGCGTTTGCGCGAGCGCGTGCGTGCGTGGAATATGTGCATGTGCGTCCGTGCGTGGTCTGCGGCACTGCTGTGTTGTGCCGTGCTGCTCTGCCGTGTTCCTGCAGTCTGCATGAACGTATGTTGCCTCACTGTGTGTGCGTGTGTGCGTATGTGCGTGTGTGTACGTGTCCGTGTGTGGGCATGTGCGTGTGCTTGCACATGTGTGTGCATGTGTCTGTGTGCGTGTGCCTGTGCGTGCGGCTGTGTGAATAGATGTTCTGGGTGTTCTGCCGTGGGCCTGCGTGTTCTGCCGTGTTCCTATGTGTTCTGCCGTGCTCCTGTGTGTGCTGCCATGGTCCTGTTCTGCCTTGCTCCTGTGTGTCCTGCCGTGCTCCTGTGTGTTCTGCCGTGTTCCTGCTTGCTCTGCCGCGCTCCTACGTGTGTGTGTGTGTGTGTGTAATCTGCCGCGCTCATGTGTGTTCTGCCGAGCTCCTGTGCGTTCTGCCATGTTCCTATGCATTATGTGTGTTATGCCGTGCTCCTTGTGATCCTGCGTGGTCTGCCGTGCTCCTGTGCGTTCTGCCGTACTCCCGCGTGCACTGCAGCGTGCTCTGCCGTGCTCCTGCGCGCTTAAAGTTATAGACGGGGCCTTCAAGGCGCAGGGGGAAAACGAACAGACGCGGACAGGGCCAGACGGGACCAAAGTTCCCGAGAGAAGCCGAGTCCCAAAGCAAAACGAGCCACGCGCGCCTACTCGCCACAGGGAGCAACACACGTGAGCAGATCGATGCTTATCCTTCACTCACTCTCAGACGGCGGGCCGCGGCGCCCCAGACGGCGGCGGACCCTGCGGCTCACCTGGCCGTCGATCGCCGTGCTGTCCGCGGCTGCGTACTCCTCCTCGGTGGTCCCGTGCACGCCGAGGAGCCCAGCTCTCGTCGAGGCTGGCCGCTGCAGGGGCAGGCTGGCAGCCGCATCCCCCGCCGCCTGCACCGCCGCGGGAGCAGCTGGGCTGCTGCCCGAGCTGCTGGCCGCGGCCGGGGCACCGCCTGCAGACTCCGCTTCAATGCCGAGCCACTCCAGGTAGCGCACCTGGGCGTGTCCTGGCACTGGCCCCTGCGAGCGCAAAGCGGGGATGCCCCCCCCCTTCACTCTCTGCTTGTCCGCTCGCGGCCTGCCTCCAGGATGGTGCCCTCGCTCCCACAGGCTGCGCTGGTTTCTGTCTGACTTGTTCGTCTTGTCGCCTGGGCACCGTTCCTTCAGGCGAGGCTTGGCTCCTGCGTGGCTGCCCAGCACCTTGCAGGCCCCGCGCTTGGAGCAGGTCACGATGTCCTGGGCGCCCTCGCCTTCGCCCGCGCAGGCGTAGCTGAGCGCGTGCCCCAGGATGCTGAAGAAGGCGGCGGTGGCCGAGAGGGCGGCCGCGCTGCCCCCCGTCGAGCGGCCGCTCTCCAGGCGCGGCCGCTTGGCGGGAGCGCCGACGCCGAGGGCCGCTCCTGCCAAATGAGGCTCCACAGCCGTAGCGGCCTGCACCTGGCGTCGCTCGCCAGCAGGAGGGAGCCCTTCGCTATCCTTGGCCGAGCCGCCGAGGTACCGCTTGCCGTCGAGCCTGCCGCTGACTGGCCTGCGACACCTCCAGGCACGCATCGCCCAGCGCGCGTTGGAGATGTAGGCACCTCGCGCGCGCTGCCCCCTCACGCACAGCTCGATTCCTGGCCCGAGCAGCTGTCCGATGGCGCCCCCGAACAAAGGCCGAAGCAAGAAGGGGCCGCTGCTGAGCTTCCGCTTCTCATGGCGGTTGGAGGCCTGCCGAGCATCCGAGCTAGCCTCAATGCTCAGCGCCCGAGGCCCGTGGAACATGGGATCGAACTCGTCACCGAGGTCCGCGACCATGCACCGCTCCGACTCGAGGTACCAGCCGAACCGCTCCAGGGTCCGCACCACCGCGTCGGCGGGCGAAGCACAGCGCTCCCCTGCGGCGGCCCTTGCGCGCCTGGCTGCTGCAGCCTCCAGCCCCCGAGCACATCCAGAGCGGCAGCTCGGCTGGCTGCAGCAGGTCCGCCATCGCTGCCGTCGCCTCGGGATGCCTTGGTACGCCTGCTTGGCCCATGAAGTCGCTCCACTCGCTAGCGCCGAACTCGAGGGCCTCGACCTCGCCCTCCTCGGCGCTCAGGGGCTCGCGGACAATGCTGGGCCCTGCGGCGTGCCCCGGGTACCTGGGCGGGTCGCCGACGTCTATGCCGTGGAACCCCACCAAGGCGCTCTCGACGACCTGGACCCTCTGGCAAGCGGCCTCCTGGAGGGCGATCGGGAGAGACCCCGCTTCCCAGCGCCAGCGGCAGGGCTCGACTGGCGCCGTGGCCTGGCCTGGCGCCGGCGGGGCCAGCACGCCCCCGAGGCTGCGACGCCGCTTGCCTCCCAGGCGGGCTGCCCCGGCGCGGCCGCACTCATGCTGGCGCAGGCCCGCCGCACTGGCCTTACTAGGCACTCGTTGGTCCTGGCTGCGCACCTCCGACGCGGCCCCCAGCGGCGCGGCCAGCAGGACGAGCAGCCAGAAGAGCCAGGCCCGCTGCCTCTGCAGCCAGCTCCCGCTTGCATGCCTGGGCCACCGTCGGCCACTCGCCGCGCGCGCTGCCACGCTGCTCGGCTTGGCCTCGCTCCGCGGCTGGCTGTGGCTGCCAGGGGCCACCGCTGCCTGCGAGATCGCCAATGTCGCTGCTGATCTCCTCCACGGGGCAGGACTCAGCCCAGGGCGCTCGCTGGGGGGCCACAGGGGCCGGGGCCCCCGCAAGCTGCGCACGCACCGCCTCCATCTGGGCGCGAATGGCTGCCCAGGCAACCTCGAAGTTGCAGGAGCCCCAGGCCTCGGGCAACTTCCCCAGCTGCATGAGGAGCCCCGGCACCTGGCTGGCTCCTGCCCACTCGGCTGCGCGCTGGCGACGCAGCGCCTCGGCCTCCTCGCGGGCCGCCTCCTCGAGCACCTGGAGCGCACGGCTCGCCTCCTCAACCTCCGCGTCGAGCTCCGCGAGCTCCTCCTGGGCCTTCTGGAGCTGGGCCTCGACGAGGTCACGCGCCGCCTGCTCCTGCACGAGCTCCTGGCGGGCTGCACGGAGCCGCTTCTCACCCTTGCTGATGGCGTTCGCCTCCCTGTGGAGCTGCGCCGCCCGCAGCTCTGCTCTGCTGCCGCCTTCTGGGCCCTGACCAGCTCAGCGCGCTTCGCCTCCAGCTGGCTGGCCACGACGTCGGTGAAGCAGCCGCCCACGCCGTCAGGCGGCTCGGCCTGCAGCGCCTCGAGCTGCTCGACTGCCGCCTGGAGCCTCTCGATCGCCGCGGCTCCTCCACCGCTGGGCGCCCCACTCGCTGCCGACGCCGAGGTCTGAGACTTGGCGGAGGCTGTCCGCGAGGCCGCGCTGCGGGCCTGCCTCTGGACACGGCGCCCACGCGGCTGGTCCACCCATCCGCCCTTGTCTGCCTTGGGCCTCGCCTTGGCGGGGGACACTCCCAGCGCCCAGGGCGGTGCCGCATACCCACAGCCAAGGCAAGGGTGCGCCAATCCCAGTTCCACCCTCCGCAGCTGCACATCCAGTAGGACTTGCTGCGCCTGCTGCTGCCGCCGCCTCGCGGGGACCTCGCCATGGCCACTGCTGTGCTGGCCGAGGGGCCGCGCCTCCGCGCCGCGAAAGCAGGAAGCACAAACTCGAAGTGCACTGGCCCAAAGCGCGGACCGCCGCGCTCCTGTGTGTTCTGCCGTGCTCCTGTGTGTTCTGCCGTGCTCCTGTATTCCCGTGCTCCTGCGTGGTCTGCCGTGTACCCATGTGTTCTGCCGTTCTCCGGTGTACTATGTGTGTTCTGCCGTGCTCTGCTGTGCGCCTGTGTGTTCCGCCGTGCTCCTGTGTGCTCATCTGTGTGTTCTGCCGTGCTCCCGTGTGTTCTTTGTCTGCCGCGTTCCTGCGTGCTCTGCCGTGTGTTTGTTTGTTCTGCCGTGTTCCTGCATGTTCTGCCGTGGTCCTGCGTGCTATGCCGTGTTCCTATGTGTTGTTCCATGCGCCTGCATGCTCTGCCGCGATTCTGCCGTGTCATGCCGTGTTCTTGTGTATGCTGTGTGTTCTGCCATGCTCCCCATGCTCCTACGTGTTCTGCCGTGCTCATGTGGGTTCTGCCATGCTCCTGTGCGTTATGCCGTGCTCCCGTGTGTTCTTTAGGTTCTGCAATGCTCCTGCGTGTTCTGCCGTGCTCCTGTGTCTTCTGCCGTGCTCATGTGTGTGGTATGCCGTGCTCATGTGCGTTACGAATGGTTTGCCATGCTCCTGCGTGTTCTGCCGTGTTCCTGTATGTTCTGTCGTGCTTCTTCGTATTATGTGCGTTCTGTCATGCTCCTTGTGCTCATATGTGTTCTGCCGTGCTCCTGTGTGGTCGGCCGTGCTCCTGTGCATTCTGCCGTGCTCCCGTGCGTGTTTTGTAATATGCCGTGCTCTTGTGTGTTCTGCCGTGCTCCTGCGTGTTATGCCTGGCTCCCGCGCGGTTTGCCGTGCTTCTGTGTGTTGGTATGCGGCTATCCTGCCCAGGTTTTGAAGATGTCTCAGGCGAGAAGTTTAAGTTTAGACTGCATGGTTTCGAAACAACCTTTTTCAATATCTCATGTGTTCGAGGATGTCTCAGGCGATAGCCACATCGCGTTAAATTCTCGACGTTAATTCCCTGGTGGATATCTCAAGCGAAACGCCTGTTGTTGTAGAAGGCGATGTTGCCAACAACTTAACTGTTTGAGGATATCTCAAGCGAAGTGCGCACGTTGAGGAATCTGGAGGGCGCTCTCGGACTCAGATTGGGCCTCGTTTGGGGCTCGCTTGGTGCCGTCTCGACGCCTTAAAAAATGATGCCAGTGCGATGTCATACACATCTCTTGTTTGAGGATGTCCCTAGCGAAATCGTCATGTTTAGAAGGCTGGCTTGGGCCGTCTGGAAGCCTTTTCAGGAGCGATTACAGGACGATGTTAAAACAGCAGTTTTGAAACCGATGCGATTGTATGTTTCATGGTGTTGAGGATGTCCCTAGCGAAATCGTCGTTTCTGGCAGTCTCCAGGGCGCTTTTGGAGCCGTCGTTGGGTCCTCTTTGGGTTCTCATGTCTTCATCTTGAAGCACTTCAAGAACGATGCCAAGCAAATGTGAAGACTATCTCATTTTGTTGAGGATGTCTCCAGCGAAGTGCATTGTTTCGGCCGTGTTCTTTTTTCTGGTCCGCCGTGCCTCGGCTCATGCTCTGAGGATGTCCCTAGCGAAGATTTCGTTTTCAACATACGAGGAAATAATACACCTCCGTCGACATCTCATGTTAGCTAAGATGTCTCAGGCGAGACGCCAATGTTTCAGGTTCGTGAATTTCGCGGCGATCAGCTTTTCGAGTAAGTCTCTAGCGGAAGGCTTTGCGTTAAACGCGATGTCGCGAAGATCTCAATTATGTGAGGATGCCTCAAGCGAAATCGCCATTCGGAGCAACCTGACTGGACAATAAAGGGAAGCGTCGCTTTTGTCCACTAGGTATGTGAAGTATGCTCCTTTGTTGATCTGCCGCGCAGATATGTCGGGGCGTGCGTGCGATTGCGCGTGCGCGTGCGTGCGTGGAATATGTGTGCATGTGTGTGTGTGTGTCCGTGCGTGGTGGTCTGCGGCACTACTGTGGTATGCCGTGCTGCTCTGCCGTGCTCCTGCGGTCTGCGTGAACGTATGTTGCCTCTCTGGAGACCATGTCTTCATTTCTCTGGGGGAAAACGCATGTTATCCGGGGGGGATAACGGTAACTGGGGCCGCGGCGCGCACCCCGAGGCGCGCAGCCTACGTCGTCGTCGTCGTCGTCGTCGTCGTCGTCGTCGTCGCCGCCCGAGCCCACAGCGCCTGTGCACACAGCGCGGGCTCTGTACAATGCCTTTGTGCACCAGGGCTGCTACAGAAATCGTATGTGTGTGCACCACGGCGACTGCGTAGGCCACAACAACCGCGTGCACCACGACGCCTTCGTACATCGCGCGATCCGTGCAGGCCACGGCGCCTGCGTGCACCACAGCCGCTGCTTAAGCACCCCCCGTGCACCAGCGTCTGCGCACACCGCAAAGTTCGTGCACGCCTGAAGGCAATACCGACGGGGCCAAGCTCCAGGAAGTCGTCGGGGGCCCGAATATATCAAATTCAACATGTAACTTATTTGTGATTATTGATTTTTCTGGCCCGGGGTACGGTACCCCGTTTTTGGCCGACCATGTTTGTGCACACTACAGCGCCTGTCTAGCGTGCGCCACGGCGACTGTTTAGCGTGCGCCACGACGCCTTTGTACACCACAGCTGCTTGTGTACACCGCAGTGCCCGTCTAGACAACAGTGCCTGTGTACACCACAATGGCTGTGTACACTGCGGTGCTTGTGCACACTAAAGGAGCCGCGTGCACCATAGCGCATGGCAAACATTTGCGCCACAGCGCTTCCGTGCACCTCCAAGGTCCCGCCGGGGCCCAAATCTGAAAAATCACCGGGGGCCCGAACATATCAAGTTCATTACGACAGTTATGTGTGATTATTGATTTTTCTGGCCCGGGGTGCGGTACCCTCGTTTTTGGCCGACAATGTTTGTGTACACCACAGCGCCTGTCTAGCGTGCGCCACGACGCCTTTGCACACCACAGCTGCTTGTGTACACCGCAGCGCCTGTCTACACCACAATGCCTGTGTACTCCACAACTATGTGCACCACACACACACACACACACACACACTGCCTGTGAACACGACGACGCCTATGTGCACCACGGTTGCTGCTTCAGCACCATACTCGTGCACCAAAGTTCTGGTGCACCAAAGTGTTTGTGTACACCACGGAACTGCGTACACTTCCAGGGCCCCCGGCAGGACCGCACTCCAGAAAATCATGGGGAATTCGAACGTATAAAATCCAATATGTAAGCGATGTGTGATTATGGATTTTCTTGCGCAAAGAACGGTCCCGTCTTTGGGGCCCACAACGCCCGTGTACACCATAGCGAACGTGTGCACAACAGCGGATGTGTACACCGCAACGCCTGTGTACACAACACGGTGTGGTACACTGCAATGACGGTACACCACCGTGCTCCTGTATACCACCATGCCTGGGATGACTGCGTGCATGGTAACTGACGTTGCAGCAACGATTGCACACACCACAAAGCCTGTCTTTACCAGATTGCCTGGGTGCATCACGATGCCCGCGTGCACCGCGCGACCTGCGTGCACTCATGCTTGCGTGCACCACAACGCCTGCATGCACAACGGGCTTTGCTGCAACAGCAGCAAAGCGCGCACAAAATCGCCCCGCTGCCAGTGCACAGCGCAATGTCTGTGTACGCGCTGCTCACGTGCACGTCGAGATGCCCATGGACGATTTCGGTCGTCGTCGATCGTCGGTGTCGTCGTCGTCGTTCGTCGTCGTCTATCGTCATCTATCGTCGTCTGTCGTCTTCTGTCGTCTTCTGTCGTCTGTCGTCTGTCGTCTGCCGTCGTCGTCTCCCCGTGCCGGTCCAAACCCCAACGTTTCGCCGCGTCGCCAACGCGCATCCAGAACACCAGCATGCTGTGGCGAACACCACCGCGCCGTTGAACACCGCGTTCCCTGCAAACTCCCTGCGCCCTCCCCCGGACCTGCAAAACCTGCTAAGTTAAGTTATCCTGGGGCGGGGGGGAAGACGAGCCCGATAAACCCGGGTTATCGCCGGACCTGAAAAAAAGTCTCCCACGTGCACCATAGCGCACGCCCGCGTGCACAACAGACCCCAGGCTGCCCGGGATCGCGCGCCTGATCGGGGCCGGGGCGTTACAGCTACGGGGGGGGGAAGGGGGGGAACACGCGTTTTCCCTTGGGTGGATAAAAAAATTGTCTCCTGAGTGTGCGTGTGTGTGCGTGTGTGCGCGCGTGCGTATGTCTGTGCGTGCGTGTGCGTGTGTTCGTGCGTGTGCTTGTGTGCGTGTGCTTGTGTGCGTGAGCCTGTGGGTGCGGCTGGGTGAATAAATATTTTGTGTGTTTTGCCGTTATCCTGCGTGTTCTGCCGTGCTCCTGGGTGTTTTGCCGTGCCCCTTGTGTATTATGCCATGGTCTTGCTCTGCCGTGCTCCTATGTATTCTGCCGTGTTCTTGTGTGTTTTCCCGTGTTCCTGTGTTGTCTGCCGTGCTACTGCTTGTTTTACCATGTTCCTTTTTTGTATGATCTGCCGCGCTCCTGTGTTCTGCCATGTTCCTGTGCGTTCTGCCGTTTCTGCCGTGCCCCTCGTGATCCAGCGTGTTCTGCCGTGCTCCTGCCGTGCACCTGTGTGTTCTGCCGTGCTCCTGTGCGTACTGCCGCGCTCCTGTGTAATCGGCAGCGCTCCTGTGTGCGTTGTGTGTTCTGCCGTGCTCCTATGTGTTCGGCCGTGTTCCTGTGTGTTCTGCCGTGCTCCTGCGTGTTATGCTGCGCTCCTGCTTGTTCTGCCGTGCTTTGCCGTGCTCCTCCTGCCCCTGTGTTCTGCCGTGCTCCTGCGCGTTCTGGTTATGCCGTGTTCTTATGTGTTCTGCCGTGTTCCTGTGTTCTGCGCGTTTAAAGTTAAAGTTAAAGACGGGGCCTTCCAGGCGCAGGGGAGGACAGGAAAAGGGACCGAGGGGCCTCCAGGGGCACCGAGCGCCACCCGAGACACGCCCTCGCGAGAGGGGCCGCCTAGGGCCGCCCCTCCCCGCGGGGGCCGCACCGGGCCTCCACCGCGGCCGCGCCGCAAGGCGAGAACAGATCTACATACAGAATGCAACTGCCCGCCTCACGCACTACTCTTGGGCCGCGTCGCGCAACGCGCACGGACCAAGAGACCATCGAGGAGCCACGCGCGCTCCTCGGCATCTGGACAACCTGCACTGCCGAGGCGGACGCCGAGGGCGCGGGCCTCGGCCCAGTCCAGGAGTGGCTCAACTCCCGACTTCGGCCCCCGGGCCGCACACGCCACCGCCGCCACCGAGAAGTCGTCTAGGAATGAAACGAACCCGCCCTCCGAGCCCGAGTGACCATCGCCCGCGGCGCAGCCAACGGAGTCCGCGACCAGGGGCCCCATGCCGACGGCGTGCTCGATGGCCGAGCCTCCCAAGGGCCCCTTCCACGATGTCGTCGCTGGCGACGCAACTACCGCCCAGGTGCGGCACGACGTCGTCGGCATACTCGACGGGCCCACGCGTAGACGGCCTCGAAGAGCCAGCATCGCTGGCATCAGCCACGCCGTCCACGCTGGCACGACCGCCAGCACCACGCTCTGCACGAGCATGTCCCAAGACGGGAGGCAGCGGCGCACAGCCTGCCCTGTCCGCAGGAGCCAGGGGCCCGCAGCCCAACGCCTCGACCACCGACTCGGCGGTCGCCACGCAACTCCGCAGGCTGAGGGGGGCGCGCGGCACGGCCCCGCCCCGCAGCGGCGCGCGCCGCGACCGGCACGGCAGGGCGCCTGACCGCCGGCGCGCCCGCGGCCCCGCGGGATGGCAGGGCTCTGCGGCGGCCTCGGCGACGCAGACCTCGACAGCGACGTCGCTCTCCCACGCCGCGCCCACGCTCTCCAGCTCATCCTGCCCCGTCTTGCCCCCGAGCCCCGCCGCCAGGCTCCGCTCGAAGGCAGAGAGGCCCGAGCCGTCGTCGCCCTCGCCGTCGCCAATGCTCGGCGCGGGCGAAACCTGCAAAGCCCCTGCAGCCAACTGCGCCTCGAGGTCGATCGCCAGGATCGCACCAGGAGGAAGCAGCTGCGTCGCCTCGGGCACGGGCCGCAGCCGCGCCTGCCCAGGCGGCGGGGCGTGCCGCGCCCAGTTCCCCAAGGCGAGGTCCTCCAGCGCCTCCTGGAGGCCGCCCTTGACCCCGAGGGCCCGCGCGGCCGCGATCGTCTCCCCGAACTTGGGAGCGCGGGCGCCCACGCGGTCGGCGCGCTGCCAGTGAGCCTCCAGGGAACGGCGGAGGGCGGCCGAACGCCACGCCAGCGCCGCCGCCCAGAATGCCCCATGGCCGCTAGCGAGCGCGCGCGCCCGAGGGCCTGCCGCCAGCCAGGCTCGTTTGAGCCAAAATTGCTACGGATGTGTTCTGTGTGTTCTGCCGTGCACCTGCGTTCTCTGCCGTGCTCCTGTGTGTTCTGCCATGCTCCAACGTATGATGCGTGGTCTGCCGTGCAACTCGTGCTCCTGTGAGTTCCACCGTGCTCCTGAGTGCTCTGTTGTGCTCATGTGTGTCCGCCGTGTTCCCGTATGTGTTTTGGGTTATGCCGTGCTCCTGTGTGTTCTGCTGTGCTCCTGTGTTCGGCCGTGCTCTCGCGCGCACTCCCGCGCATCTGCGCGCTGGACGCCGTGACCCCGCAAGCCCACACTCCAAACGACCACTCGGCCAGCCGACAGCGATGCGACAATATGGGACGACAGAATGAGCGAAGCGATTGAATAAAGGAAATACCCCGAACCCTCCCCCCTTCAGACCCCCCCACCACCACCACACACACCCCGTTTTCAACATTCCCCTCCAGGTCTAAACAAACGCCCATCGCGCGACCCTTTGAAACTGAGCGCGCTGCTTGTTGAAGACGCAACCCCAACGCTGAGGTCTCGCGAGCACTCATAGAGCCAACCGCGAGGTCGGCCCGCGCGCGCGCCCACGGGCGCAACATACGAAGCTTACCACCCACTGGGGGGAAGCCCGCACATCAGCACGCGACCCTCTGGCCGCGGGATGGCGGCGAGCAGCGATTCTCAAACGGCGCAGCACGTCATGTGCATATAAGCATAGATAGGCAGAGTGCAGCACTCATAAGTCGGCAACGCTCCAGGCTGCACAAGGGCAGGGCTGCTGGCCGAGCCCTACTCAAAGTCACCAACGCAGCGGGCCGAGAAGGAAAGGGGGCGGACGAAGAGGCACGAACGTTGGAAAAAGGGGGGACGAGGCGCCTGCAGCAGGCTTTACCGAATAAGTGAACACTGGTGCATGCAACCTAGTGGACTCACCTGAAGTAAACCCAACATCCCAGTCTACTACTTCCTTTCCTTGAGCTCACGGCGAGATGCGAGGAGCATGGTCGTCGTCGATCATTAGTCCCGCAAGCTCCTGCACCTTCAACGCCCCACTAGGTTGTGGGATGGATACGATCAGCACGCGGTGACGGTCAGTCGCTCCGACCCAGCGAACCTTGCCCTCCTTCACGCTGTCCTGGCACTCTACCACGAAGCAGCGCTCCGCTTGGTAGGGATGCATTATGGGGTGCCATCTCGCCAGCAGTGGCCACCGCCTTCGAGGCCATCTGGACCTGCTGTTGGTCGTTATCGGTCTTGTCCCCCTTCAGGGCGGCACGGGGCGTCGGCGCCGCGCACCCGCGAGATGCGAGGGGCCCCGCCCCCCCGGGGAGTGCACTTCCCAGGCCATGGACGGCGACACAGGCGGCCGCATATGCTGTGGACGCCGTCGTCCCCGAGTACCAGCGCGGACGCGGCTGCCAGCGTGGACACGTCGAGGCTTCTTGGCGGGCGGCGCTGGCCCTGTCCAATTTGGATTGGCGATCCAGCTGCGCAAGTGATCCTGATCATACTGGTGCACGCCGCATGCAGCGCTCCGCGCTGCAGGCGAGAGCGCGCCAAGCCATCGTGGGAAAGCAGCCCTGCGGTCGGCGCCCTTGCGCCACGCGCGGCCACACCTCTCACGCGCAAGCCGCTCAGCAGTTTGACCCCGCGCTGCTAGCACCCATTGAAAACGCAGATGCTGAAACTCCACTGCGAGGTAGGCCGGCCTCACACCAGTCTTTCCACTCAGCCTCGCCATCTGGTTGGGCTCCGCCCCTCGCGATGCGGATCCAGCCCCGTGCCCAGCGACGCACCTCCCGTTCATGGGCTGGCGCGGGTGCACTCTCACGGGACGGCCGTCTCCTGGGCGCAGAGGATGGTGTCGTAGTTGTCGAACGGGCCCTGCCGATGCCCCACCCGCTGGAGCTGCCCTTTGCAGTAGCTGGCGGACTACCGGTGCACTTGGACGTCTCATTCCCCCGAACCGACTGAGCCTCTTCGCCAGGCGGTGGTCGTTGATCGCGCGGTAGGTAGTGTCGAGACCCAGGACACTATGAACCATCAACTTCTCCTTCGATGTAGCGGTAGGTCGGGCGGCCCAAGAAGAGCACCCGTCTGGCCCGAGGGACCGTCTACCCACGCGGTGGGGCCGCCCCTGTGCTGGAACCTCTGCCTGCAAGGACCGCCGCCGCACGCTCCTTGGCAGACTGCTTGGCTGCCCGCCAGATGTCCCAGCCCACCGCGAGGCAATCCGCGTGGACTCTAGCCGCGGGGAGGGCGCGACGATGCAGCCAGGGCGATCCCAGATCCAAGCTTCAGGCGATAAGTTGCGTCGCCGTCTGAGGTATCCACATAGCTGGGGTGTGCCGCAACGTCCTGGCCCACATGAAGATCGACTTCAGGCCACACCCACCCCCTGGCGAGCATAGCACGGCGGGCGCGGTGACAGCTCCATACGCTGCGCACTGGCTCGACCCCGTCATAGTAGTCATCCTGCGACACGAAGCTGCACGGCGGTCGCGCCGCCACCGGGCGCTCGGCCCTCCAGCGCAAGGAACTTCGGCTAGCGATGGCGCACAGAAGAGAAGCGAAACAATACATGTCCCGCCATCGACTGATGATCATGCTGCGCGGGGGCTTGCGACCCCGCAGACACGAGAAACGACGCCAGAATCGCTCGAGCCAGGTGCTCAGATATGCTGCAAACTCAGCCACAATGTCCAGCTCGCTTCCCGCACCTCGAAGACGCCCCCCGTCATCCGCCGACCCCTGAAGCGCGCGAGACTAAACCTTCCTCCTTCCACCTCTGCTCTGACCCGCGCGCCGTCCTGGGAGCTCTCTTCGTGGGACCGCCCGCCCGGACCGACCCTGCCGACCACCTGGCCCCCCCGCACCGTCCTGGGAGTTATGTTCGTGAGACCCTTCGCCCGACTCTTCTGCCGTGCAACGGCTCCAGCCACCGACTTTGCCCGACCCCCGCACCGTCCTGGGAGCTCTGTTACCGGGGCCCTCCGCCCGACACTTCTGGCCTGGAACCGACCCTGCCGCCCACTTGGTCCAGCCCCCGCACCACCCTGGGAGCTCTGTTCTTGAGACCGCCCAACAATGTCTCGCCCGGAACCGACCCTGCCGCTCACCGGGCCCGACCCGCCGCCCACTTGGTCCGACCCCCGCACCGCCCTGGGAGCTCTGTTCTCGGAACCGCCCACTCGACCATATTCTCGCCCGGAACCGACCCTACCGCCCACCCGGCCCGACCCCCGCACCGTCTTGGGAGCTCTGTTCTTGGACCCCCCCGCCTGACAACTTCTGGCTCGGAACCCACCCTGCCGCCCACTCGGTCCGACCCCACACCGCCCTCAGAACTCCGTCTTTGGAATCCCCCAACATGACAATTCCTCGCCTGGAACCGACCCCGCCGCCCTCCTGGCCCGACCCCGCACAGTCATGGAAGCTTCGCTCTTGCGGCCCACCACCCGACAATTCCTGCTCAAGAACCGACCCGGCCGCCCACCTGGTCCCACCCCCGCACCGCCCTGGAAGCCGCGCCCCCCACCACGCCCGACAATTCCCGGCCCGGGCCCGACCCTGCCGCTCACCCGGCGCGGCCTCCGCGCCGTCTTGGGAGCTCCGACCCCCGCGCCGCCCTGGGAGCTCATCACTTCTTGGGACCGCCCACCCGAAAATGTTTGACCCTGAACCCACCCTGCCGCCCACCTCGTCTGACCCCCGCACCCCCTGGGAACTCTGGTCTCCAAGCCCCGCACCGGACAGTTCATGGCCCCCAACCGACCCTGCCGCCCACTTGGCCGGCCCCCCGCAGAGCTTTTGTTCTTGGGGCCCCCCGGCCGATCAGATCTAGCCCAGGACCGATCCTACCTCACACAGAGTCTTACCCCCGCACCGTCCACGAGAGCGTTTTGTTCTTGGGAACCCCAGCCGACAATTTCTTGCCCAGAACCGACCCTGCCGCCCAACTGGCACGAACCCCGCGCCGCGATGAGAGGTCAGCTCTCGGGGCCCCCCACCCCGCAACTTCTGGCCCGGACCCGACCCTGCCGCCCACTTGGCCCAACCCCGCACCGCGCTGGGAGCTCTGATCTGGGACCCCCACCCCGATAATTTCTGACGCGTAAGCGACCCTGCCACCCACCTGGCCCGACCCTCGCGCCTCTCTGGGAGTTCCATTCTTGGAACCCCACCAGCCAAAGTCTGCTCGAGAACCGACCTAGGCGGCGAGGTCGAACCAGGTGCACCTGGTTCGACCTCCTGGTTCGACCTCCCCACCGCCCTGAGAGCTCTGCTTCGGGACCACCTGATCGACATCATTTCTGGCACGGAACCGACTCCGACCTGCCACTCCACGACGCCCTGGCATCCCCGCCGCGAATCTGCTTTCGGGACCCCCCGCCCGTCAATTTCTAGCCCGGAGACAACTCCGCCACCCACCTAACCCACGCCCCACACCGTCTTCAGAGCTCTGTTCGCGGGGCCCCCCACCCGATAATTGATGGCCCAGAACGGACCCCGCCACCCGCCCAGCCCCACCCCCGAAGCCTCCCGCTGAGCTCTGTCCTTGGGCCCCCCCCCCGCACATTCGGACCCAGCACCGACCCTGCAGCCCACCCGGCCCGACCCCCGCACCCCCTGGGGACTCTGCTTCGGGAGCCCCAATCGCCATTTCTGGACCAGAACCGACCCCGACCCTTCTCCACCACGCCCCGGCACCCCCCGCCCGAGCCCAAGAACCACCCCTGCCGCCCACCTGGCCCGACCCGGGCACCGCCCTGGGCACTCCCTTCTCGCGGCACCCCACCCGACAATTCCTTGCCCGACACCGACCCTGCCGCCCACCTGATCCGACCTCCGCGCCGCCCTGCGGGCTCTGTTCTTGAGACCCCCCACCGACCACTTCTGGCCCAGAACCGACCCAGGCGCCCACCTGGCCCAACCACCCACAATCCCGGGAACTCTGTCCTTCGCCGCGCTGTCCTGGGAGCTCTGTTCTTCGGACGCCCCGCCCAGCGGCTTCTGGCTCAGAACTGCCCCCGCCGCCCCCCCCCCCTCGCCCGACGCCATCTCCCTCTCAGACCCACGCGACTGGCCGCACTGCGAGACGCTCAACGTTCGCGCAGTGCTCCCGCCCGCACCGCGACATGAGACTCTGCGATCCTCTTCTCTCCCTTGCGCCCCGATGCGCAGCGCGCGTTGCAACGTTGGCCTCCATTTGTTCCTGCGCCGCTCTCCCGCTGAACCGCAAACTGACCTCATTTATCCCGCGTTGCTCTTTGCGCCTGATAGAATGACCGAAACCGCGCGCGACTCCGCGGCTGCGCGCGCCACCGCCCCCCCCCACGCCCTCCCACGTTCAAGGCGAGAAACCGATCTCCGGCGCATCCTCTTCACACGCGCCACGCCACGTCACGCCCGCGAACCGCTCGCCGGCAACTGGGGCACCCACGGTCCGCCGTCGCTGCGTTCGACTGCGCGCAACTCGGAAGCCCATTCTCGGGCGTCTGGGCATCGCAACCGCCGCGCAACAACTCCTTCGCCTCTTCCAACCGCGCCCCCCCCCCCCCCCCCCTCCTTCCTCACTGCCCCCCGGCCATCCGCGCACGGCCGCGCTTGGCGATGAGCGCCCGCCCTCCGGAAGTAGCTCGTCATCATCTCCCCCCGCAAAGGGGGACTTCAGATGTTGCTTCATCTCTTCGCACTCCACGCACGCGCAACCTCCGCGCGGGCCATGCCCTGCCCGCCCCCATTGACGCAGCGCGAAAGCACCCTCGCACTTCCGCGCCTCGCAAACGAAGCACCGCCTTTGCTCGGGGCAGCCCACGCGGCGCCGCGACGCCAACTTCGACGGGCGGCGCCGGGGCGCGAGAAAATCAGCCCGGCCTTTCCACGGACAGCGCTCCGCGCACTACCACGGCGAGCCCACGCTTTTCTTGCCGCCCAGACGCGCCGACACGCGCGAAGCCCGTCTGCGCGCCGAGCGAGCTCCGGATTTTTTACTTCGCGCAGCCGCAGCACGCGCGCCTGCATTCGGAGTGAACTCCTTCTTCGTCGCGCCCAATCGAATTTCCTCTCCGCGCAGGGCGCGCAGAAGTCAGTCCGGGCCCTGCCTCTCGCCCTCCATCTGATCAGGCGCAAGGTCGAAGGGTCGGAAGATCAGCGTGTGCACGCGGCGCCGCACCCGCGCCAGCGCTACGTAGCTCGGCAACGGCGACGCACCCCCGCCGATGCTCAGGTCCACAATGACACCTCGCTTGAACGTCTGCCCTTGCGCTGCGCGGGCCTTGGCTCCGATCGCGGGCCCCAGCGGGAATTGCAGCCGCTTCATTTTCAGACGCGGACGCGCACGGCCTGTATCAACGAACCACTCCTTCGTTTGGGGCGCCACCAGGCCCGGGCCAGAAGTGGGGGGGCCCTGCGCCTCCCACTCGCCGGGGATCGGGCCCCCGTGCCCACCGTCACCGCAATCGACTGCACGAATTTAACCTTTGGTTTTTTACTCAAGATCGCCTCGCCCCCGCGCGCCACGCGACCCCGCCCTTCGCCCCCATCGCAGAGCCGCGGCTTCACGCGCCCCGCCCGCCCGCGGGGCAGATATTTGTCCTCGCCGCGGTCACCGTGAACCGTCAGGGCAACGGGCATGCCTGCAGCTACTGGTAGGAAACCGCACAAGTCCTCGCTTTCCTTGTCGCGCCGCCGCAGCCAAGACTTCCTCTGCAGAGGTAGATCTGGACACTCACGTAGAGCATCTTGCGTTGGCGTGTCTCGGGCTGGCACGTAGACCACTGGTTTCTCGCGGAGTCGAACTCACTGCGACGCCCGCAGCTCGTTCACCACGTACCGTCACTGAAAAAGAATACTCCTGGCGCGACTCGGAACTCTTTCGTCTGCAACCGCGGGTCGTCCGCACCGTCGAAGCCGACGCGGCGCCGTTCGCGTTCTTCTACGCACAGCTTGCAGTCCGTCTCACGCATGTCCTTCGAAGTTGCCGGGCGACGTCGACGCGACCCAACCACCGCCGCGCACGCGCTTCCCATGCCATCGCAGAGCGCCCTGCCAGCTGGGTTTCCACAGCCTACCCGCCCGTTCAGCCAGCTTCACGGCACGTGCGTGTCTCGGCGGTGCAGGAATGCGCGCGTGTCCTCGGTCAGGGCACCTCTGCAGAATTCGTCCTGCACCGCTATCGGCCACGCGTCATCGCACCGATCGCACTCTTCCAGCTCGATCACTCTCTGCACCCCACATTCACCGCCGCACCACAGAAGACCTTGACCGTGGAGTACTGGCAGTCATCGCCGCGCGAGCGTCGTCCAACTCTCTCATGACGGCGATTATTTTACATCGATGGGAATCTGCATTCGACATACGGGTCAATGGCAGGGTTGTGAATCGCGGCGTGGCTGATTTGCCAATCCGTTATCATTGACACATCCAGAGAAAAACGGCTGATGCAAATTTATAGGACCAGGGAAGTCTGACAGCATGATTGGTAGATGGTCTTGTTTTACGATCATTGTTTCATCTAACACCTCGAGGGATGGGATGTTCATGGACACGACCACTATGTGATAACATGTCCGTTGAGCGGAAGCTACCAAAAGCGCGCAATAGAGGGGTGCGCGCCGACCTTTTACCATTCGCTTGCAGCCGTAAAGTGCTGCAGCACACGCGATGGCCAGCGTCAATGATCAATGGCGGCGGCGGCGCCGGCGGCGGGCGACGGCAGGGACGGAACCATGTTGACTGGAGGATCGAGGATGAGGATCGAAAAGGAGGATCGAGGATCGAATGCAAAGGAGGAGGATCGCGGAGGAGGATCCAGGATACTTCTGCCGATGCGGCTCCAAGTCTGCGACGACCTGGCGCGGTCCGGTGCGGAACCGAGGGTGGCACAAAGTCTGTGGAGCAAGATCGATGAGGAGAAGGATCGATGACGCGGGTCGATGTGGAGGAGAAAGATCCATAGGGGGCAAACAAGCCTACCTCGCTTTTGACCACCCTCGCTTCCAAGAGATACCAAGCGATGCCAAACTACGGCCTGCACTGGTCAGGCCGCTTGACGAGGAGGCGCGTGGTACGAGTTGGTTCTGCCTGGAAGCGAAAGCGGGGCAGGCAATTCACGCTCTGAACAGGATGTCACCTCGCCCCGTGGCGCTGGTCCTCCCTCGATGCCGGCGGGCAGGGCTGGGCGCCAGGTTGAAGGTGGTTGCGCGGAAGAGCTCGCACATCTCGCCTGAGCGGACGTCCCCCCGTCCCGATGGCACCCAGGCCCTGGGCGGGCGAGGAGGACGAAGGGCAGCAGGAGGACGACGAGTGCCTGCTCCGTCCTCCTTCCCCGCCTCCATTCCTTTTCAGATAGGTAACTCCTCCCTATCGTACCCCGAGGCTGGACAAAAGGGCGGGCCGGGCGTTTCGCCTAAGACTTTCTCCCCACTTATAACGCTGAGGCTAGGAAATTGGCAACAGCGTCACAGATGGAGGGCGGGTGGTTTTCAACATGTGGCTCTCGCCTTAACGCCGCGCACATTCGTCTCAAAAAAATTGCCAGAGCTTCACGGATTGAGGGTGGTTCCTTTTCAACATGAGGCGCTCGCCGTAACGCCGCGCACACCAGTTATTTGGAGTTTGCAAGAGATTCACGGATTGAGGGCGATTCCTTTTCAACATGTGGCTCTCGCCATAACGCCGCGTATATTACTTATTTGGAATTTGCAAGTCACGGATTGAGGGCGGGTGGTTTTCGAAATGTGGTTTTCGCCTGAGCGCCGCGCGCATTCGTCTCTAAAAATAACAAGAAGTTCACGGCTTGAAGGCGGGTTGTTTTCAAGATGTGGCTCTCGCCTTAGCGCCGCGCACGTTCGTTATTTGGAGCTTGTCAGAGATACGCGGATCGAGGGCGGTCCCATCTCATAATGTGGATCTCGCATTAGCGCCACGCGCATTCGTCTCAAACGTTTTGGTCTGCGTGCCAGAGATGGCGTTTTGGAACGATTCAGGACTCAGGGCGCAACAGCTGTGTTGATATTCGCGGTGTTGAAGTCCCAGGAGCTGCGTTCTGGCACGATTCAGGGTCAAGACGCAAAAATCAAGTTGACTCGTGGCGTTTGAATCCCGAGAAGACTATGTTGGCACGGTTGTATCCCAACGAGGCAGCTCCTCCAGTGGAAATGAGCCCATGTGGGGGCTTATGAAGGGGGAGCTTGGGGGGAAGGTTTATTCCAACATCGTTGATGAGTCTGGGGTTTACACCGGTCCTCCTCATCCTGCTCCTGCTCCTGCTCCTCCTCCTCCTCCTCCTCCTCCTCCTCGCAAGCGAGACTGCATACACGCATTAGTTGGTTGCACACGCTACGTTCCCACCACCGCGGCGCCCCGCCTCACGAGGGCCCCCCCTGGACAAGGTGCCCCCGCGGCCTCTCGGGCATCGCATTTCCTCTCGCACAACATCTGGAGAGAAGCCAAGCTGCCTCGCGGCCCCCATCTGCGACTCCTTTGCACCGCGCTGCCCGCAGAGCGCGACACTGGCGCTCGCAGAAACGGACGCCCCCATCTCCGTGCCGCAACGGACGCCGCGACCAAGGACAGCGGGCGTCACGAATGATATCGGGTTCATTCCGCGCGCCGCCGTATCTGGTCAGCGCCGTCGCTAACGCGATATTTGATGCGCCACCTCCGCGCACATACAAGAATTGCGCCGCGTGCCTGTTCAAGTCCCCAGCCCCCCACTCCGGCGCCCGAAACAAAGTTGCGACTGCCGAACCCCGAAAACTGTAACGCCCGCCCATGGGCTATCCGACTTCATAGTCTCATCAGAAGTTTGAGAGGGAGGGCGCTTTTACAGCATCACCAGCACGTGCTGGACCTACTCTGGTCCTCCTCTTGCCCCCCCTCGCCCTCCACCTCCTCCTCCCCCTCCTCCTCCTCCCCCCTCTCCCCCTCCCCCCACCCCTCCCCCTCCTCCCTCCTCCCTCCTCATGCTCCCTCTTCCTCCTCATCCTCCTCCTCCTCATCCACCCACCTTCTCCCTCTTCCTCCATGTCCTCCTCCTCCTCCTTGTTGACGTTGGGCGAACTCGAGCGTCATGGCTGTAGCGTCCATGTAAAAAGGAAACGACTGCCGACTCAGGACTGCATGTCGACAGCTTACGCATGGCGGGCATAGCAAAACTCAAGATACGCGCAAGAAGCAAAGAAAAAGACACCAGGCCCAGAAGGGCACAGAGTATACGCCAGCCGAACCGTGCTTGAAACAGAGATATATATATATATAGAGAGAGAGACCCCCTCACTCCCACCAAACAAAAAAAAACAAACGAGACGAACGAAATCGAACGAATCAAGTACAGGAGAAAGCCGGACAAAAACAGAGGTCGAGCTGCACATGCACGATCAACCAACGTGGTATCATACGCTGGCCTGCCAGGCGTTCGTGTCAGATCCCAGCAAGCACAGCTTCACGGGTAGACGCAGCCGTTTAGGACCTCCTCCGCCACAAGTAACTCCGCCCGCCCACCACCATACTTAGTCAAGGTATGCTGTAGAACCGACTTGGCGTGCTGTCTGGTGCAAGGTGCGATGATTGTCGTCTTGGGTGAGGACATGAAGATTGCAACGAGCGAAGCAGCCTGGCTTCCAGCCTCTGGGCATGCCGCGGATGGGTCCAGTCAGCACGTTTCTGTCTTAAACTACAGTAGAGGCCCGTCCACAAGAAACCTTACACAAAAAACTAAACCCTGAGACCCCAGGACGTCCGCTCATGTTTGGTGTAAGAACATCACGCTTTCCATCGCAAAACTGTCGAAACCCAAGAAACCCAGGGAACCCAAGAGGAGAGCAGGGTGTTTCTTGGCATGGGTCTCCACAGTACGATATGCCTGTAGGCTTCATTTTAAGCAGATGGGTGGAAAACTAAAACTATGCCTGTGTGGTCCTCAACCCCGCCCGCCACTGATCCACCACCCCGCATGCTATCTTCCACGACCCATGACCCCCCCGTCGCCCCTAAGTACACCGTGAGTGGCCCTCTACCCAGTCAGAAAAATATAGCAAAACAAAGCAAGCGATTGACGCAGTATTCAATTGGTATGGTGGCTGCAGCGGGGCTTGGACGGGCTGGGCTGGTCAAGTCTGTACGGGTTGGCCTTGTGCAAAGAATGGTACGCTGAAAGGTTACCACTGTATCTACTATTGGAGTCTACTGTAGTCGGTAGTCCGAAGTGGGATTGTTGGTCATGGGGCTCGCCCCCTACCGACGTGCCAAGGTGGCATCAAAAACAGGAACCCGTCAGCACTTAGCTGCGAGTTAAAGCTGGCGGGAAAAGAAGGAGTGGGGAGACGGCCATCTAAGCGCAAGCTGGTAATACATAAAATAAGTGTGACACTCGGACAGTAGCAATAGGCGCGCAAAAAGGTCCACTGCACCCTCACACAGGAAGCCTCATCCTCTCCACAGTGAGTGAGTAAGTCGGCAGAGATGGTAGATGATTTGAGAGTCGGGCTTCTGAGTGCAAGCAGGGGCGAACTGCAGCTGCGGAAATGCTACAGTTGGCTCAGTGCTTGAACGGTAGCAGTAAGCTGGACATGAAACAACGAACGCCGTGCACTGACCCTTGGGCGGTGCGGGGTCCCTGACTAGGGGGGGGCGCCCCAAGAGACCCAAGGTGGGGTGTCGCAGGTCCTCCGTGCCCTCCGCATCCTGGCCCTCCACCGCCAAGTCAGACACGCGGCATAGCACGGCACAGGCAGGAGGCTGGCGCAGATTGTAAAGGCTGGCATGTGACCTCCTCCCTCCCTCCCTCCCTCCCTCCCTCCCTCCCTCCCTCCTGCTCCCACCTGCCCCCTCTTCCAATGCCGCCGACACCGCCGCCGACGCCGCCGCCCTCGAGGGCGCCGCCGACGGCGCCGCCAGGCGACGCCGACGCCGACGCCGACGCCGCCGACGACGGCCCTGGGAGAGAAGGGAGGAGGACGAGGAGGATATACAGTGGGGGCCCGACCACAAGAAACCTTCCACAAGAAACCAAACCCTGAGACCGAAGGACGTCCATCGATTTGGGGCGCGGGAGCGTCACGCCTTCCAGAGCCCAAGAGACCCAGGGGCGCCCTGCAGGGTGTTCTTGGCAAGGACCTCCACTGTAGGTCACCCAACCTTTGCGCATCGCCTCTCGCGATCCTGCGATCAGCTTCGCGCCACCGCGGCGGCCCTCAGTAGAAGAAGACAAAAACACATAAACATAACTTTTGTCTCCTGCCTGAGCCCCCCTCCCTGGCGCGCGGAGCGCGCAAGGGGCGGCGCCGGAGGCGCCGCCAGGGGGCTCCCAGCGCGGATCCGAGAAATCCGCGCGGAGCGCCAAATGTTTCTGTTTATGTGCATTTCTACCGCGCGTTTCTTGCAGCGCCACCGCATTCGCCCCGCCCCCTTGGAGAAAGGCAGTCTCTCTGACCCACACCGCGGCGCGCGGAGCGCGATCACCTGCGCGCCCCCGCGGGCGACGACGACGACGACGACGACGACGACGACGACGACGACCACGACCACGACCACGACCACGACCACGACCACGACCACGACCACGACGATGACGACCACGACGACGACAGCGACAACGACAACGACGACGCCGCCGACGCCGACGGCGACGACGACACCGACGACGACGACGACGACGACGACGACGACGCCGACGCCACCCCGTCGCGCAACACCGACGAAGATGGCCTGCTGGCAGAGTCACCGACCAGTGCTTCAGCTTGATGACCCGCTGCTTCTCCTCGTGGGGAGCGGAAAGCCCGCCCGCCATAGGCAGAGCGGGCAACCCTTGGAGGAGGGAGGGGAGGCAGGCCAAGACGAAGCCAGAACTGCACGGTTTCACCCAGGGCCGTAGGCGACTCGAGGAGGAGGAGGAGGAGGAGGAGGAGGAGGAGGAGGAGGAGAAGGAGGAGGAGGAGGAGGAGGAGGAGAGAGGAGGATGACGGGTCGCCTAAGCCCTTCGGAGAAACCCTCCACCCTTGGAGGAGGGAGGGGAGGCAGGCCAAGACGAAGCCGGGACGAAGACAAAATCGAACGAGGACGGATCGGGAATCTCCGAGATTCGGCGACTCTGCAGTGACTACCTTCGGGCGTTGACAGAACTGGGTTTAGTGAAACCTGGTTTAATGATGTGTACTGGGGGGCGTCCCCCCCGCCCCGTTCCACTAACCCGAACTGCCGTCACCCGAAAACACCAGCTAGAGCAAACCTGGATTAGTGATTCTGGCAAGTTTAGGGGCTCTGGGGCCCTACTACTAACCGGGTCCCCTTACCTGGGGTCCTGGCTATACCCCGTACCTACCAGACCACCCTAACATAACCCGAAGACCCCAATTTCGGGTTGGCGGGGTACGGTTTCATGTGCTCTTCTAATGTTCCCCGACCCCCCCACACTGGATATGGAGGGCAAATTGACGCTTTCGGGTTGGGTTGGGGTGGTTTGGTAAAGTGGTTATGGAGGATGTCTCGGGCGCCGCGGCCTTCTCAGAGCGTGCCGGAACGCTCTGACAGCTTTCTGGAACGCTCTGAAACGGATCTATCTTCGTCCTGGCCCCGCCCGACGGGCGCAGAATCAGACAGCGCCGAATCTTGGAGGTCGGATCGGATCGGAACGCGCGCCAAATCGGGCCGCACTGGCACGGGGTCGAGATCGGATTGGACCAGCTGCTGCAGGCTGCACGACAGCGCCATGCACAGGGCAGCAAAACGCGGCATAAGCACAAACTGCGGCGGCTCCGTGCGGATTTCTAGAATGGGCGCTGGCAACCCCCCACCCTGGCGCGGGGAGCACGCCATGGGCGGCGCCGGAGGCGCCGCCAGGGGGCTCCGGCGACGATCCAAGAAATCCGCGCGGAGCTCCGAAAGTGCATGTTCATGCACTTGGTTGTTCCTTGAGGGCGGGAAGGAGGAAGAACTCGTCATCCTCCTCCTCCTCATCCTCCTCATCCTCCTCCCGCGCACCTACTCCTGCTCCTGCTCTCCCTCCTCATTCCCTCCTACTCCTCGTTTCTCCATTTTCACTCCTCTTCGTCCTCCTCCTCCTCCTCCTCCTCCTCCTCTTCATCCTGCTGTTCCTCCTCCTTCTCCGCCTTTTCTTTCTGTCCCATGTCATGTTCCTACTCCTCTTCTCCGTTTGCAGCTATTCCTCTTCATCCCTCCTCATCCTCCTCTTCTCCTCCTCCTCCTCCTCCTCCTCCTCCTCCTCCTCCTCCTCCTCCTCCTCCTCCTGAATGTTCCCAGAGGTCTCCAGGAACAGATGGCCAGCTGTTCTCCAGCGCCCTGGCAAGGATCGTGGCCCAAAGGAAGCTCCACCTGCGGCCCCAGAAAGAAGGTTCGCATGGCGTTTTCACACCCATTTCGGCACACTCCTCACACGGATCGCCGAAAGATCGACGATGGTTCCCTGATCGTGAAAAGCCACATTTTCCTGGGTGGGCTGGGCCATCAGGCCCCCCTCGGCGATGACTGGGCCACTGGGGGCCGATGCATCGTCCCCGTCCTCCTCCTCCTCCTCCTCTCCTGCTCCTCCTCCTCCTCCTCCTCCTCCTCCTCCTCCTCCTCCTCCTCCTCCTCCTCCTCCTCCTCCTCCTCCTCCTCCTCCTCCTCCTCCTCCTCCGCCTCCGCCTCCGCTCCGCCTCCGCCTCCGCCTCCGCCTCCGCCTCCGCCTCCGCCTCCGCCTCCGCCTCCGCTCCGCCTCCGCCTCCGCCTCCTCCTCCTCCTCCTCCTCCTCCTCCTCCTCCTCCTCCTCCTCCTCCTCCTCCTCCTACTCCTCCTCTCTCCTCCTCCTTCGCCTCCGCCTCCGCCTTCGCCTCCGCCTCCGCCGCCCCGCCTCCTCCTCCTCCTCCTCCTCCTCCGCCTCCTCCTCCTCCTCCTCCTCCTCCTCCTCCTCCTCCTCCTCCTCCTCCTCCTCCTCCTCCTCCTCCTCCCGGCCTCAGCCTGGCCCCGTCCCCGGCGACTTTCGGGCTGCCGTCCCTCTGGAACGCTCTCGGCGAGACGCAGCTGCTGGGAGGAGAGCACCCCGAGGCTGGAGGACCGCAGCGATCCGATGAGAGAGGCCCGAAGCCCCCACGACGAAGACTGGCAGAGCACCCTTCGGCAGAACTCCCTCTGGTGAAAGCTGGGCACTCCGCGTGCGCACAGCACCGCACTCCGAGTGGACCCCAGCGGGGTAGCCAATCGACGGCCAACAAAAACCACCGTGCGTATCCGGCGAAAAGGCACGTCGGTCCGCGAAACCGACGGGGGACTGCCCCCGCACGCTCGAATGCCACTGTCGAGTGAACCGATGGAGATTTCCTCGGTCGAGATGACTGGGTGGGCGTTCTGTCGATTCGGCGGCGAGCGAGGGGGGAAGTGAGAAGGAGAAGGCCTGCTCGGAGAGCGGCGGGACTTCTCAGGAGCCCTCGCGCCCTCTGAGAGGTATTCTATGCCCTCGGGGAAGGCTCAGAAGACTCCTCAGAAGGTTGGGTGACCCAAAAAGGGGTTCAGCTGAAAGGGGGTGGTGCAATAGATCTGGGGCAATTGTTTTGCAAATGTTTTGCGCCGGAGAATTGTATTGCATTGCATTGCAAGTAGTAGTGTATTGCACGCGAAAATACAGCAATACCTTTGCGCCCCGAAGTGTATTGCACGCCCCAACGTGTTGCAACCCCACAAATCTATTGCACCAAATCTGTTGCACCACCCCCTTGTCGCTGGACCCCCATTTGGGTCAACCCGAAGAAGGCCAGGGGACTTCGGACACCTTCTGAGAAGGCCTTCTCCTCCTCGCCTCCCCCGCCCCCCGGCCTCGCCTCCGGCCCCATGCCCGATGGCGATGCCCCTCCTCCGCCTGCACTTCTCCTCGCCCCTGCCATCGCTCGGACGTCCACAATCCCACGCATTTTGCCGGTTTTTCGCTCGTGCTGCTCTGCCTCGCAGGAGGATCATCGCTCGGACGTCCAGTCCCTGTGTTTTCTTCGGTTCGTGCGTGGGTTTTTTTTGTTTCGCCAAATGATCAAGGATGCTCCTCCATGGTCCTCGCCGAAGGAAAGATGCACACGTCCGAGCGATGCCAAGCAGGAGGATCCCGGCTGCTCTCCGATGGCCCCCGCCGAGAAAAAACGGCACGCGCCCGAGCGATGCAGAGCGCCAGCGGCGGGCGGCCAGCGGCCGGCCCGGAGAAGGCGGACGGCGCGCCCCTCCGCGCGGGGGGGTCTCCTCCAGCACATGGGGGTCCTTGAGGCTCCCGTCGAACTCGTTGCGGAGCTCCTGGCCCCCCGCCCGAGGGGCAGAGGGTCTTCGCCGTCGTCGTCGCCGCCGCCGCCGCCGTCGCGTCTCAATACAGTCGGGGCCTTGACCTGAGGAACCCCAGACAAGGAACGAGGCCCCTTTTTTCCATAAGTTGAACTTCGATTTCCGATCGAAAACATAAGGAAAACCTGAGGCAAGCTGCGAAACACTCAAGGAACGCGGAGCCCCTCCCCAACGAGAAGGGTTCCTTCTTCAGGGCCCCGACTGCAGGCCCTCCTCCGAGGGCTGCCCGCCCGCCTTCCTGGCACCGCCGGCCGGGCGGAAGGGGGGGCCTCCGGCTGCCTGCAGCAGGCCCCGCCGTCACCGTGCCCGTCAGGCCCCCCCCCGGGGCGCTGGAGAGGAGTCCCCGCACGCGGGGGGCGCAGAGGGGCTGACTACCTACCAGACCACCCCAACCCAACCCGAAGACCCGAATTTCGGGTGGGGGGGGGTAAGGGTTCCACATGTGCTTTTTCTATGTTTCCCGACCCCCCCACACTGGAAATCGAGGGTAAGTCTGAGCCTTCGGGTTGGGTTGGGGTGGTTTGGTGGGTGGTGAGGGGCGGGGCCAGGAGGAGGGGGGGCCAGGAGGAGGGGGCCACGAGATCCGGGAGAGATCAGGGCCTCGGCCATGATGTTTGCACCTCCCTGCCCCGAACGTCGGCGCTGCGACAAGAAGCATCCCGGACAAAAACGACGACCGCAGCCCTGGACCCACCCAACGCTTCCGCCACGTTGTCGAGCCCGATCGGCCCGTGAGGACTCTTGGGCTCGAGACGAGGCAAATCGCCCGTTGCCCTGAGAGATGCGACGCCAGGATCTCGGGGCCGCCGCCATGTCGCCCCCCCCCGAAGCTCTACCTGGGGCCCCCCCCAGCGCCTGCTGGGTTCGGGCCAGAGCTCGGGCCTCCAGCGGCCGGCCGGGACAGGCCAGGGACCACCCCCGAAAGCCTTCGGCGAGGCGCAGCTGCTGGAGCGCATCCCGAAGCTGGAACAGCGCCGCGCACCGCGAAGGCGTGCGAAGGCCTCGAGCATCGGTCTGGTGTCGGAGTCCATCTCGTCCCCGAAGGTCTGCTCGGGGCATTGCCCCCGGGGGCGCTCCACGAGCAGGCTCTGCTTCCAGCTGGACGCGCCCCTTTGGCAACGGGGAGGGCGATCTCGCCGCCTCCGACCCGTGGAGGCGCGACGTCGGCACCTCCTTCGCGGCCACCCATTGGCTCTGCCAAATACATGGACACACTGGCGCTGCAGAGGGGGGGGTGCGTGTCGACCTGTTCCGAATGACCCCTGGGATGAAGAACATAACATGCTGACCCCAGAGGTACGGGGCTCCCGCCTGCGACTTCCTCGCGACTCGCTCACAGACGAGGCCCCCGCCTGCGACTTCCGCAAGGTTCAAGCCTCAGGGATGCTCCCCACGCAAAGCTCGAGGACACGAAAGACTCGGGTTAGGAAGATTCGGGTTGGCCCGACGGTACCCTCATAAAAACGACGAAACCCAATCTGAAATCACACCAGCCCTCTGGGCGTCGGTGGTTTAGAGCGTTTCCTCTTCCACCCCTCCTTCTTCCCCTTCGGGGAGGGGTTTACCCCTCCCCCTACACCCTCCCCACTGACCTGGACTGGGGGGGGCCGCGGGTAGTTAGAGCGTCCAAGATCGACTCCTGGGAAGGCTAACATTCGACACCCCTCACGAGGATCGTGGCTCCTGAGGGGGGGGCTGTAATTAGGGAACCCCCCTTCGTTGATCGATCTCCTCCAAGATTGTTCCAAAAGACGTCTTGGACCCCCTCTTGGGCTCTGCGCGCGGGCGGGCGGAGCGCCGCCCGCCCGCCCGCAAGGCCCAAGAGCCCACCAAAACGTTCGAAGACACTTCCAATACGCCACCAGGGAGGAGGAAGAGGCGGAGGAGGAGGAGGAGGAGGAGGAGGAGGAGGAGGAGGAGAGGGAGGATGAGGAGAGGAGGAGGAGGAGAAGGCGGAGGAGAAGGAGGAAGAGGGGAGGAGAACAGCTGCCGATCATCGGCGCTCTTCGTTCGAGTGCCTGGTGTAGGATGGGCTGGTAGGGATACGCGAAGCGTCAAGAATTTGAAACGGGTTCCCACTGCAGACCTCCAACGGGAAATGGACCGTCGGACTTCAGGACGCGCTCGTCAAAAAGCGTCGGCGAACCCGAGTTCCAGCGCACTCGAGACTTACACTGGAGGCCAGTCCACAAGAAACCTTCCACGGGAAATCCCATCCTGAGACCCCAGGGCGTCCATCAACTTTTGGTGTGCGAGCGTCACGCTCCCGTGGCAAAACCATCCACACCCAGGAAGCCCAGGGCTCTCCGGAGGCAAGCGAGGTGCTCCCACTGTGCGCTTCCCCGCAGGGCGCTCCACGGGCAGGCTCTGCTTCCAGCTGGACGCGCCCTCCGGCAGGAGGAGGGCGATGTCGCCCTTGCGGATGAAGGGGCCTTCTCGCTCGGGCGCCCGGCGGCAGCGGGGGGCGGGGCGGGGGGCCGCCCGGGGACGCGCGGGACGCCCGCCCCGGGCGGCAAGAGGCCGCAGTTGCCCACAGGGACGGGGGCCCGCGGTTTCGCTTGGGGTCCTCCTCCTCCTCCTCCTCCTCCTCGTCCTCCTCCTCCTCCTCCTCCTCCTCCTCCTCCTCCTCCTCCTCTTCCTCCTCCTCTTCCTCCTCCTTGTCCATTTGGGGAGGCGAAGCTTTTTCGGCGCACCCCGGCGACTACCCGGCCGTTTTGCCAGAGGCGCTGGGGTGCGCGGACGTTTCGTCACCCTCGCACGTTCCATCATTGACCAACATGCAAAACGTTTTAATCAATTGTTCCTACACAGGGTCGCGCGGCCTGCTGCCAACAACGCGGCCTGCTCTTCACGGGATATGCGATTCGCCTAGATGGCCGCGACCCAACTCCGTCGCGCATCAGCGACAGCGCGTCGCTGACGACCCACAACACGAAGCCCGACGGTGTCTCACCGCTCGCCCGCTTCGGGCAGACGCGACGTCGACACGGCCGCGCAAGTGGAAGAACGTATTGCAGATGATGCGCGTTGCTCGAATTATGGGACGTTCGAAATCACGCGGCCAACGCCATCGGGAACGCCGGAGGCCCCTTGTACTTTTCCGTCCGCGGAATGCGCGGGACGCCCAAGCACCTCGAGGTCGCGCGCGATGCCAACCGCGGACAAGCGCGAGCAGGGCTGGCGTTAGATTGCTGCTGGGCCACGAGGATGCAGCGCATGAGTACTCTTGACGCGGAGGCATGTACCGACGACGAGGCCGTCAGCATCGTGAGCTTCTAGCGCGCCAGCAGGGAACATTTCTTCTGCCGTTGGCTTTCCAGCGACGGTGCGGCCATAGACTTGGCCGAAGAGGCCTGGTCACTCGTGGAGCCCACGGAGATAGCTGCAATGGCGGCTGGAGGGGAGGGGACGAGGAGGAGGAGGAGGAGGAGGAGGAGGAAAAGGAGGAGGAGGAGCAGGAGGAGCAGGAGGAGCAGGAGGACTCTGAGGGCTCTGGTGACACGCCTTGGACTGCAAGGCCCGCAACCTAGGCAGGCGCGTCTCGAGCCTACGCCGAGACGCGGAGCTGAGCCAAAGCCCAGCGAGCAAAACGAGAGAATACAGCGTGGCAGCGCGAGAGACCAAGCGGCCACCGGGGGCAGCAGCCGCAAAATTTCGAGGCCGATCCTACCGAGGCGACAGGAAGCGCGCGGGCGCACCGAGCCGCCCCCTCAGCACGCGCCCTGGTATCCCACCACTGGGACGCCTGGGCGGGCCAGTTAAGGATCGGCTTGGCCTCCTCGATCGCTCCCCGCTTCAACTCCGACGAATCGGCGGCACTGGCGATCGTGCGCTAGAGCTCCCTGGGCCTCAGGTAATCCTCGAGGCTGAGGAGCTCGCCGAAATCGTCGCTCTTGCTAGCACCACCGTTGTCGAATTTGTCTATAACGCTGCAGCCGCCATCGGAGGAGCCGGTCTCGGGCGACTCTACCTGCGCCACCTCCAAGCTAACCTCAAGGATGGTGAGGAACGGCTGGCAGGATATTCGGCTCCTCTAGTACACCGATGAAGTTCGACTGCTCTGGCTGCACGTCTGTGGCTGCACTATCCGCGAGGTTCGGCCCACGGTCCTTCTGCTCTTCGCTGGTACCACCAAGCTCGCCATCTACACGGCGAACTGGCAACAGCTGTGACGTACGGCGCCAGACCGAGAAGGCGTAGTCAAGCTCGTCGCGCACGTGCTTCAGCGCCTGTCCACCAGGTTGTGCATGCGAGGCATCCGCCACATGTCTCTCTCCACGTAGGCCACCTCCGCCTTGGCTTTGTTGATCAGGGACTGCAGCCTTTCCTAAGCTTCTCTGGATATTGTCGTGTGCTGGGTAGGTTCCAGCGACGTGATCAGTTCCTGCAATCTGTCCTTCTTCGCATGAGCCTGGTGGAAGAGTGTCTGAATCCCGTTTTGCATGGCCTGATCCATGGACTTCTCCAATGTGGGCTCCGTCCCCGGGTGCAGTTCCTTGCTCTGGCTCTTCTCATTCAGCGCCTGCCTCGCCCTCTGGAGACTTTTGGCCCAGCGAATCCTCACGCCCGTCGACGCAGGACAGGTCGAAAAACTCGCGGCTGACGCCGACGCCGGCTGCCTGTTGGGATCCCACTGGCGCTCGGAGTTTCTCCTGTTCTTATTGATGGTCTAGCGCTTGCACGCTTTCCTTTTGGCCTCCTGCAGCGCCAGGATCGACGCCGGCGCCATCTGGTGGCAGAAAGGGCAGTGCTCGCGGAAGCCGAAGTTCACAATTTTCTTGGCAAGCCTGGCTGAGCAGGGCTCGCACTTCCACTTTGGCACGTGGAACTCCCTCGGCTCGTTCTCCAGGGCCCCGTCCTTGTTGCCCTTCAGGTCCCTGTAAGGGTTCAAGATCTTGGCCGAGGCTCGACGCCGCCAAACCTTGGTCTTCTCCCTCTTCTTGGCCTTCGCCGAGACCTCCGTCTTGGGCCTCGCCTTCGCAGCGACCGCGACCCAGGACCTTCGCTGAGCCTGCCTCGGTGCAGGAAGCGGAGGGTTCGACGGCCACCGACCTCCCGCCTTGACCCCCCGCGGCGGCGAGCTCCGGCGGGACAAGGGAATCTTCTCTGCCTGGTCCAGCTGGCTCGGCCTCGCTGATCAGCCCAAAACCGCCGCGGACTACTGCCCCAAGGGCTGAGGACCATCTCGGCGCTGCCCGTCTGTAGGGTCACCGAGATCTCGCGCGAGAAGCGGCCCTGGAGCTCGCCCCGCTCGTCCTCCTCCAGGTCGGCGCCGCAACTGCGCAAGAAGGCCGCAGCTTCTTCGGAGGGCCTCCCCCCGACCTCAAGCCCTCCCCCTTAGGGGAACAAAAAATGGCATAAACATAAAAACTCGAAGGTCCGCGCGGATTTCTCGGATCGGCGCTGGAACCCCCTCCCTGGCGCGCGGAGCGCGCCAGGGGCTGCGCTGGAGGCGCCGCCGGGGGGCCCAGCGCCGATCCGAGAAATCCGCGCGGACCTTCGAGCTTTTATGTTTTATGTCACTTGTTGTTCCCCTATCCCTCCCTCCTCCCTCCTCCCTCCTCCCTCCCTCCTTCCTCCTCCCTCCTCCTCCCCCTCCTCCCTCCTCCCTCCTCCCTCCTCTCCTCCTCCTCCCTCCTCCCTCCTCCCTCCTCCCTCCCCCTCCCTCCTCCCTCCCTCCCTGCCAATCCGGCGTGCTGGCGACCTCACCCTCCTGCCGCCGACGCCATCGGCTCCGACACGCTGCGCCCCTGCAAGCCGCGCGCGCGCGCCGACGCCCGAGCGATCTCGGGCCGCGAGGCGAGGAGGAGGGAGGAGGAGGAGGAGGAGGAGGAGGAGGAGGAGAGGAGGAGGAGGAGGAGGAGGAAAAGGAGGAGGAGGAGGAGGAGGGAGGAGGAGGAGGCGGAGGAGGGAGGAGGGAGGAGGGAGGGGGAGGAGGACGGAGGAGGAGGGAGGAGGAGGGGAGGAGGAGGAAAGGAGGAGGAGGAGGAGGAGGAGGAGTAGGAGGAGGGGGAGGAGGGAGGGGGGCGGGAGGAGGGAGAGGAGGAGGGAGGAGGGGAGGGGAGGAGGAGGAGGGAGGGAGGAGGGAGAGGGAGGAGGGAGGAGGAGGGGAGGAGGAGGAGAGGAGGAGGAGGAGGAGGAGGAGGAGGAGGAGGGAGGAGGGAGGGAGGAGGAGGAGGAGCGGGAGGAGGAAGAGAAGGAGGACGAGGAGGAAGAGGAGGAGGAGGAGGACGAGGAGGAGGAGGACGAGGAGAAGAAGGAGGAGGAGGAGGACGAGGAGGAGGAGGAGAAAATTTGCGGGGAAACCAACAAGGCACCGATACCGCTACTCCCCGGACCTCTGCTCGGGTGCGGTCTGACCAGAATTTCGAATCCAGCGGTGGCGACGAGGGCATCTCAGGAAGCCCAGAAAAGGCGAAAACGAGGCAAGGGGAGCGGAATTGGTACCTTTTCCGCCTCCGACGAAGCTCGTCATCGTCAGGGCACGGCCGCCGTCGCGGTGGACGGCGAGGGCGACGGGCGTGGCGCCTCCGTTGCGCTTGATGAGGGACTCGGGGATCAGTCTGAGCTCGACCTTCCCGCTCTGCGGGGCGGGCCGCCCCCGGCCCCTGGGGAGGCGGGCCTCCTCGGGGGGGCTCTGGGGTTCGAGGTTCGAGCGGTGCCGGGTTCGAACTTCGAGGATCGAAGGGCGGGGTTCGGGGTTCGAGCTGCGCGGTGCGAGGTTCGAGGTTCGTGGATCGATCGGTTCGAAGACCGATCTGGCCCTCTGGGAAGCGCTCTGAGCCTTCTCCGAAGCCACGGGGAGCTTCTTCGAAGGTCGGAGGGCTTCTGAGAAGCACCGCCACGCCCTCGGAGAAGGCCTGCCCCCTCTCGATGATCCTCAGAACGTGTGTTAGCGCCAACGTGCGTTTGCCCTTTACGGCCCTTCAATACGACGAAGGCGATGTAATGAACTACTGGTGGAGGTTAACGGGGTAAACACACATTAGGTGAACACGCGTCCTGAGGATCATCGACCCTCTCGCCCCCTCGGCGCGCTGCCGACGATTCACCACCGCCTGGGGGGACTGTTTTTCGGGGGCCGCGGCAGGTGGTGGGTACGGATACAGGTGGGGGCCCGACCACAAGAGACCTTCCACAGGAAACCCAACCCTGAGACCCCAGGACATCCATCGACCTTTGGCTTGGGAACGTCACGCCTTCCACAGCAAAACCGTCGACGCCCAAGACTCCGAGGGCACCCTGGACGCAGGCAGGGCGTTCCTTGGCATGGGCATCCCCTGTATACTTGGCCCCCCCCACCACCACCGCCTGCCGAAGTCTCCGAAGATCGATCCTCCAGACGGTGGTGATGTTGGAGGTCTGAAAATGAGCACCAACACCAACACAGGAGGTTGCCTCCACAGGGGAAAGATGATCCTAGATTTTGGTGTTGGTGGCGATAGTTCGGCCACTTAGAGAGCCCGAAAATTGCCACCATCACCGAGATTGGGAGCATCCTCCCTCGGTGAAGGCACACCGCCGATCTTGGTGTTGGTGTCAACCTCTAGGCCTCCGATGGTGATGGATACTCCCCGCCTCGCGCCACCCGGCCGGCTGCAGGCAAGAGGCGGCCCCGCGGGCAGGCTTCCGGAAGTTCCCGTCGCTCCCTGGAGGCGTTCCCACCTCGGGACTGCTTCCAGCAGCCGCGCCTCGCCGAGAGCGCTCCCGCGGTGGAAGAAGAAAAAACGGCATGAACGAAAATAGGGGGCCACATGCGAACCCTACCCCTACCCCCCACAATTTCTGAGGGCGAGGGTGGGGTTCACTTCGCTCGGGAGCTCCCGAGCGAAGTGAACCCCACTTAGGTTCAGGTCGGGCATGTCCCTTCAGGCGGATTTTCGGCGAAAAATAAAAGATAGCAAAAAAACAAAAACAATCAAAAAATGGTAAGGAAAGATCGTTCCCAGACCATTTTGCGACTCTTTCTGGATATCCCTCCTGTAGAAAGACGTGCCCGACTTCAATTGAGGTGTGTGTGTGCCGTTTTCCTTCGAGTCTCACCGAGAGCGTTTCTGGGGTGGTGAGCGTTTTTTATTCGGCGTTTCGACATTGGGCAGAAAGGGGACGGAGGGGGGGGTCTGGCTCCGGACTTCTGCTCAATGCGGATGCTTGGAACCCTGCGTCCATCTGGGGGAGGGGCCCCACCTGCTCGAAACATGCGCCAAGAGCAGCCAAGACCCACTCCAGGGGGGGGGAAGAAAAAGAGAACCGAACTCTATACACCGACGCTTTTTCCGGCCCTGCACTGAAATTCGCACAAGAACGCGGATCTTGGTGTATACGGGATCCTGGTGTATGCATTTTTCGTTGCTTCCCTTGGAAAATGGGAGGAAAAGTATACACAACACCACCCCGACGTCGTCCCCGACCCTCAAAAAGTCCTGGGATTGAAAGAGAGCCCGCCACTGGTAATGTATATGTTCCAATTTCCGAAGAAGGGGTTAGGCAACTACTGGGAGGTTTCGTCGGAAGGATTAAGGAGGATTGAGCCCCATTAGACGGCTGTTAAGCCAATGGGCCTCGGATCAACCGGGATTAAGCCGGATTAAACAAGATTGACCGGGATTGAGCCGGATTAAGCGGGATTAAGCCGGATTAAGCCGGATTAAGCGGGATTTCGGACCAGGGCAAAATCAGAACCTGACCTCCCAGGAGTTGCATCCGGTGCGAGGGCCCGCGCCGATCGGCAAAGCAATGACTAAACAGACGATCTGCTGCCGGAAGCCCCGAGCCGTGGCCCCCGAGAGTCGCTGGGCCCAGCAAGAGAGGGGCCCCTCCAGCGCGCGGCTCGCCGGCCCCCCCGCGCGGCGCAGCAGCAGCGGCTCGGCCGCGCTCGGGCTCTCGGGGGCGGCCAAGAGGCGGGCGTGCAAGAGGCCTCCTCCTCCCCTCCTCTTCTCCACCTCCTCCTCCTCCTCCCCCTCCTCCCCCTCCTCCCCTCCTCCTCCTCCTCCTCCTCCTCCTCCTCCTCTCCTCCTCCTCCTCCTCCTCCTCCTCCTCTCCTCCTCCTCCTCCTCCTCCTCCTCCTCCTCCTCCTCCTCCTCCTCCTCCTCCTCCTCCTCCTCCTCCTCCTCCTCCTCCTCCTCCTCCTCCTCCTCCTCCTCCTCCTCCTCCTCCTCCTCCTCCTCCTACCCGCTTTCCTTTTCCTCCTCCACCTTCTTCCATCCTCCATCCTCGGGGGGCGCAAAGCATGGCCGGCGGCACGTGCGCGGCGCGGCCCCGGGGGGGGGCAGGGAGGTCATGAAACAAGAAGAGGCGCCAGGAAGCCTGAGGAAACATCATGGCCCACGCCAAGATATCCACCTTCCCCTAGTCATCACCCCCCTCTTGGCCGCCCCCGAGGCTCGGCCCTGGCCACGCCCACCAGAAGCTGCGCACCAAAGTTTCCTCCAGCGAAGGGCCACCCTGGGCGGCGAGCGAGGGGGGGAAGCGAGGAGGAGGAGGCCTTCTCGGAAGGCGCGCGGGACTTCGCAGAAGCCCCCCTCGCGCCTGCTGAGGAGTCTTCTGTGTCCTCGGGGAGAGGAGGAGGAGGAAGAGGAGGAGGAGGAGGAAGAAGAGGAGGGTGAGGATGAGGAGGAGGAGGGTGAGGATGAGGAGGAGGAGGGCGAGGAGGAGGAGGACGAGGGGAGGGGGGAGGAGGAGGAGGAGGAGGAGAAAGAAGAAGAAGAAGAAGAAGAAGAAGAGGAGGAGGAGGAGGAGGAGGCGGAGGCTTGGAAAAAATCTCCACCTCAGAAGGCCGGGGGACGTCCGAGCCTTCTGAAAAGGCCTTCTCGTTCTCGCTTTCCCCCCGGCTCGCCGCCGACGCCCAGAACATGGCCCGCGCTGGTCACACAGGGCTCTGACAACAATATCTGGTGGGCATGTCGGCAGATCAAGACGCTTCGTTACTGCACGAGACGTGTTGCCGACTGAGGGGCGTCGCCGTCGCCGTCGCCGAGCGGGAGGGCATATCACACCCTTCTTCGCCCCACGGCTGGCCCAGACAGAACCGGCGCCAGCGCATGCTTGGCGCCGCCCGCCTCCGCGTGGAGGTCGCCGTCGCCGTCGCGGCCGTCGGTTGTCGTTGCCGCCGCCGCCGCCGCCGGCGTCGCGAACACCATCGCCAGCATCCTCTACCCGCTCTTTCGTAAGCTGTCGGGGCTCCGCCCGGATCTCTCGGCTCGGCGCTGGACCTGGCCGTCCCTGGGCCCCATTTGGGGGGCCTGGCCGCGGGGAAGACCCCCCCGAGGAGGCCCCTGGCCCGAGGCTCTCGTGGATCTCCGGCACGCCCCCGCGCGCCACAGGGGGCGGGGTCGGAGCCGCGCCTCCGATCCGAGCGGCGGCGCGCTGGCGGCGTGCCGCCGATTGGGGGCGGCCTCGGGCCATCTCGTGGGCGTCTCGAGCCGAAGAAGAAGAAGAACAATAAGCATTATGATAAAAAATAGTGATACGACTAATAATAATACGAAGAAGAAAAAGAAGAAGAAGAAGAAGAAGAAGAAGAAAAAGAAGAAGAAGAAGAAGACGATTGGAGGCGGCCCCCCTGGCGGCGGCGCGGAACGCGCCAGGGGCGGCGCCAGAAGCGCCGCCTGGAGGCTCCAGCGCCTGGGCCGAATCCGCGCGGAGCTCCGAAAGTTTCTACTGCCGCCCTTTGTTCTTATTGTTCTTATTCTTAGTACTATTTTTCGCATTAGTACTATTACTTTTCTTCTGCTTATTATTGTTATTATCATCATTATTATTATTAGTATTATTTTTATTAATATTAGTATTATTATTAGTATTATTATTACCGTTATGCTTATTAATGTTATTGTTCTTCTTAGTAGCATGATTATTATTATTCGTCGTATTATTATTCTTCTCAGTCTGATTATGATTCGTTTGATTCTCCTTCGCATTGGTAATATTATTCTTCTTACCCTTCTAATTAATAGTATTATTAGTCTTATTATTCTTCTCAGTCTTCATATTCTTCTACGTATGATCATTAGTATGATTATTCGTATTCTTCTTAATCATAGTCTTTTCTTATAAAGCGTTAGTATTCGTATTCCTCATGTTCGTCTTCTTCGTATTTTTATTAATACTATTATTATTAGTATTAGTAGCATGTTTAAAATTATTATTACTATTAGTATTCTGGTTCTTATTAGTACGCTGAGAATTCCCATTAGTAGTATTATCAGTATTCTTCGTATTAATATTATCGTCACTATTATTATTGATCTTTTTAATACTTCTCATATTATCATTATGTTTCTTATTCTTATTGATATTACAGTTATTATTAGTAGTATTATCTGTATTTCCTGATTGTTGTTATTATTTGTAGTATTACTATTATGTGTATTCATAGTCTTCTTAGTAGTATTTTCTTCATCTTCTTACTATTATGATTCGTATTCTTCATATTATAATTATTCGAATTAGTGATAGTATTCTTCTCCGTAGTAGTAGTATGTTCATGATTCCTCTTATTACTATTATTGTTCAGCTTCTTCATCTTATCATTATTTTTTATCATGTTTCGTATTATTATTATGCTTAGTGTGC